TATGGATCAGTACCCAATCACACTCTCACTGGAATTTCTACAACTCTTTACCGTATTGCCTTTATATATAACAGTCACACCTGCCTAACATTACTTGTAACTTCTTGTTATTTAATGATCAAGTAGATGCTAGAAACTGTTCCCCCCTTCCCTGTTTTCTAGACAAGGTATGCGAGAATACTGCCACACATTTCAGCATTGTCTTCTTAGGCTCACAGCATGCTGTTAAAACCTGCTTTGGTGCCGACAGCTGCTCAAGATAAACCTGCCTCTGACAATCCAAAGAAAGCAAAAGACACATTTCAGCAGCATGTTGGTGATGCTAACATTGGCAGTGTGCAGATTTATGTACGTTTCCTTATCTCTCCACTACAAGATTGGTAGGCCTGATTTCCCCAAAGTCACTTCAGCCAGCAGCATCTGTCTAGAACAACATTCTAGATGTAACACATCCAGCAATCTTCAAGTGTTCTTCCAGTTTATGTTTTGTCTCAAGGCAGGATGTCATCCCTTGGGCTTTTACTATGTGTGTTGGAATAATTGTGTTGATGATTAGTGATGCATTTGTAGGCCAAGGAGTTTGTACGGCATCAATTTTTGTTACATGTTGCAGGTGGACATCAGATCATGCCCATAGTGTACCCAATGAAGACTTTGATCCCTTGTTTCACTCACAGTAAATAATCATTCTTTATGATGTCATATAGCAGTTGTATAATGTATGTCACGTTGTTCCATTAAGCACCGGTAGTAATGGCCCCTATAACAAATGTTTAATAATGTTTAAATTGTATATCATTCCAAGACAGGTTTGGTCTCTAAGACTCAGACTATTAGCACAGTGGCTTTGAATCTTCCCCTGATCATGTCATGGAATAGTTCTACGTTTGTATGTCAGAATTAAGTAGTTGTATTTTCAGTCTGCCATTTTAGTCCTCAGATCCAATGCTTGAAGAAGAAAATGCTTCCACAACATTGCTAATAATGGGCCCTGTCACTTAAGAAATCTATGATAGACTAAAATCTGCTGAAATCCAAGACAAGTTTTGTCTCAAAGACTGTTGCTGTTTCTTCACACGATCTTATATCATGTACTTGACAGCAATTCAGTCTATTCAAACTGAACTGGATGGCCACTATCAGACCCCGCCTCCTATAAATAATATTATTTGGGGAATGAGTGTCTGCTCCCAATGGAGTGTCTGTGCATGTTAGCTTTGTATACATCAGCCTACCGGAACCACAGACAGATATATACTGGGAGTTGATGGGTTTCCCTCCGCCAGATGGCGTTGTCGTTTCACTTGATGTAAAATCAGACAGCATCGTACAACAGGTGCCCCTACACCCTGGCTACCATACATAGTCCAGTAAACTGTAACATGTCCAAGTACAGGGCGGATTTTCAACTTGTTTAGAAATGAAATCCAGGAAGAAATATATCTGCAAAATTTATATTGGTTCCATTTTGTCACATCTGTTGAATTATCCATGCTGGGGTCATTGTGTGTAAAATCAGTGATTTTACTGAGACAAATTGGATCCGGACATTTTATGTGTTGCAAGGTCTTCATTATCATTGCCAAATCTGAATAAAACACTATGGACGTTGTGACATTCAGTCAATGTCCAAAAAAATTAACTGATTTGAAACCCTTTATGTATGTTTGATTTCTATTATTTTAAAAGGACATAAAGGAAGACATAATTTTCTCCAATTTATCATGTTTATGATATTATCATTTTAATGAAATGTAGCATCTTATCTGTGTAAATTTTTTGAGTGATATTCAGCTCTGATGTGTAGTATTATGAAGTGAGCAACGTGAACAAAAATTGCCATTAATATATGTTTTCAGAACACTTTTGGCACAGTGTCCAGTTTTATCATGTTTATTTTTGAGTAAATTTAGTTTTTACTGATTTTCATCTGCCTGTAAGACCTTATTTGGCACAAGAAGCTTAAACTGGCAAGATTACAGTTTATTTAGCTTAAAGGTTCAACTTTGTAGAATTTATTTACTGAATAACAAGTAAGGATGTTAATATGTGGATATACCTTAGAGCAAGGGTTCCAGATGTCTGAATAATATGGTAGAGCAAGTGGTCCAGATATCTGAATAATACGGTACAGCAAGTTGTCCAGATATCTGAATAATACGGTACAGCAAGGGGTCCAGATATGATAATATGGTAGAGTTGGTTAGTTGGTTTGTTGTTTAACGCCGCACTCAGCTATATTCCAGCTAAATGATGGCAGTATGTAAATAATCGAGTCTGGACCAGACAATCCAGTGATTGATATCATGAGCATCGATCCACACAATTGGGATCGATGACATGCATTAACCAAGTCAGCGAATCTGACCACCCGATCCCCATAGTGGCCTCTTCGGTCCAGATATGATAATATGGTAGAGCAAGGGGTGCAGATCTGGTAATACGGTACAGCAAGGGGTCCAGATATGATGATATGGTAGAGCAAGGGGTGCAGATATGATAATATGGTAGAGCAAGGGGTGCAGATATGATGATATGGTAGAGCAAGGGGTGCAGATCTGGTAATACGGTACAGCAAGGGGTCCAGATATGATAATATGGTAGAGCAAGGGGTCCAGATATGATAATATGGTAGAGCAAGGGGTGCAGATATGATGATATGGTAGAGCAAGGGGTGCAGATCTGGTAATACGGTACAGCAAGGGGTCCAGATATGATGATATGGTAGAGCAAGGGGTCCAGATATGATAATATGGTAGAGCAAGGGGTCCAGATATGATAATATGGTAGAGCAAGGGGTGCAGATATGATAATATGGTAGAGCAAGGGGTCAAGATATGATAATATGGTAGAGCAAGGGGTCCAAATGTCATGATAATATGGTAGAGCAACACAAGAGGTCAAGATTTTGGGATAGTAAGCATACAGGAAGGCAAGCGGTACAGATTTCCATCAGAGGAATACAATAGAGCAAGTTGTAGCTACATTTTGGGGTAATACGGTAAAACAAGGGGCCTCTGAAGTCTGTATCGGCCAATCTTCGGCAGCAGCTCTAGCATGGCTAATTGAACCGTTATTACCTGGCAGTAGCCGGCTACTCAGCCTATAGTCTATACAGTCCCCTGTGTTTACACCAGCTGTATCCCCTGGCCAGCCACAAGGAATGTACATTATTTACATAGTTGCACTATCACCAGGTTCACATCTCACATTCCTGCCACTATCTTCCACTGGCTTTTTTGCCTGAGAAAAAGGAACCGGTTTGCTTCCGGTATCAGCTGCTATCAGGGTATTTATTTCTTGATGGGGTTCCTACTAAAGATGTTTAGGTTTGGTGATAAAAAGTGTGGTTAATAGGTATTTAAGGCCTTGATATGACAACAAGTAGAATTCATCCGACAGTTTACAAATCATTCAGATACTCCAAGATATCTTTGCTGTGAGATTTGACTTGTAATAAATAAGATATGAGTTTATGTGTTTGTTCCTTTGAACATGTTGAAAGAAGACAAGGGTATTCTCGTAGGATGCTGTCTGTCCCCCCTTCCTGCTCTGTCCCCAGCTGTTAGTCCTCCACTGCCTGTCCCTTTTAGTAACCCTGCTGTTTAATGAGTTCCGAACCCTACTCTGATGCCCCCCTGCTGTCTGTCCTATAGCTTGCAGTGATAGAAACTACCATTTTTAGTCCCCTAGTCCTGATAATGAAAACATGTAGCAAAACCCTTCAAAATGGCTAATTTCTAAAGTCCTTATGATACCTCAACTATTGAGCAGTTTGACAAGGACTACAGGATCAGTGCCAATTTTTTTTCTAAAGCTGCCTTGCTGTCTGTCCTCCATCCATGAAGATCCATGTTAAAATTGGTCTTCAGCAACCCATTTTTGTAAGAGGCATGTCATCAGTCCAATTGCATAGATCAGTGCTCTTGATGTAAACCATTGTCTGGCCTCCCCTTATTTCTCTGGAATATTGTTGTGTGTTGTTGTCTGTGCCCCACCCAGTTGTCTGTGTCCCACCCTGTTGTCTGTGGCCCACCCAGTTGTCTGTGCCCCACCCTTTTTTTCTGTGCCCCACCCTGTTGTCTGTGCCTCACCCTGTTGACTGTGTTTCACACATTTCTTTGATGTCAGTCATTTTAATGACGACTGTATCAAGTTAACAAATTTGATAAAGGAGAAAATAAATGGGTGCACAGAAAGATTAGATCAACACTGATCTACCTCTTTCTCAAGCATTGCCTGGATTAACTATCTCTAGATTGTCAAAGGTTGTGATTGTGTGAACAAGACCCTCGCTCTTATTATGCTCTTGTTGTATTTAGTCAGAATGAGTTAATTCTAAACCCTTTATCATATTTATACTGAAGAATACTTGACACGCTGAATGTATGTTCAGTGTCGATATTTACTTTGAAAGTCAACAAACCCAAGTCAGGCAACAGAAAGTAATTCAGTTTTTCAAATCATTCATGGGAATTCCTTGAACAAATACCATTGGGCTATAAGTGTACCTTATTTTCTTGAGTATAGTGAGCAGTATTTTGGGGGGAATTTTTTGTGTGAGTATTATGTCCATTAAAAAGCTTCATCATATCGACTGCTAATTCAGGTAAATGAAATTTAAAATAAAACGTCACTAGACATGATAATTTACCATTTAGATTTTATACCCTATTCTGCTAGGAATTGTTTTATGTGCAGTTTTTAATATTATGGTGTGTATTTTCTTGTAAACTAAGCCTGAAATTGCAATCAGGTGTACACAAATTTTCTTGCAACCTGCCAAGGATAAAGTTAGAAAATACCCATTAACAGGTTCTATTAAGTCTGTATTAATCCAGGTTTTTTCCAGATGCAGAATATTGCATTCTATAATGGATGGGTGTGTGTGTGTGTGTCTGTGGGGGGGGGGGGGGGGCTTGTTGCCAGTGTCTGTTGATATTGATGTGGTATATCTTTTGTCATGCTTGTATACTGATGACAAGATTTTCTGGTTTCAGCCCAGTCACTCAAGGAGTTCGGGAGGCTGCTCTTCTCCATTGAAGAGGAGCGTGAGAAACTTGTGAGATGCTGATCCCTATGTATTTCATTGTTTGCTGTTACCATGGTTATCTGCCGCATATGTATAACTGTACCTGAAAGATGAAACAAGTGTTTTCAGCAATAGATGATGATCATTGAGTCAGGCCCTCACAATACATGTCCAGAATAGATCCCATGAAACCAAGAGCAGTTTAAACGTGCATTCAGCAGTAGAAACTAACACGTTTAGTCCACTTAGTCCTTTTAATGGTAACATAGAGGAAAACCCTTTAAAAAGGGCAAATTTCTACTGGTCCTTATGATACCTTAACTATTGGGCAGTTTGTCAAGGACTACATGACTAATGCCAATTTCTAACGCTGGCATTGAATGGTCTGAATGTTTGACATGGTATATATTTTTTATGCCATACAGTGATGTGGATCAATGTTCATGCTATCTACCCTTGTTTTTTCTGACAGCCATGATATCTCGATAACATTGGTGAGAGTGACGTAAAAGATAACTTGTAAGACTCGCTCAATGTGAAACTGAGAATCAATGTTATAGACCTTGTCTAATAAACAATTAATCATTTGTAAATATTTACCAAGAGCTCTATTGATTTATGATGGATCTTACTTCAGCTTGAGACTGCAACAGACCAGTTCCTTAAACCGTTGGAAAATTTCCGCAAAGAAAAGATTGGTCAAGTCAAGGTATGTATGGACTCAGTGAATTATTGAGTATTGAACCCATCTCACTCATTCACTCACCCAGAATTAAGTCTATTCTACTGAAATATAGGTAATGTGCTGTATGTGAAAGTACCAGTTAAGAAAAAGTCCAAATTCTTTATTATGGAAAAAAGATGATATAAATTTGTGTAAAATATATGTTATCTTTTCAGGAGGGCAAGAAAATGTTTGACAAGCAGACAACCAAATATTGCCAGTCATTGGAGAGGTATCTCAATATGAAGACAAAAGTGAATGAGTCCATTCTTCAGGAGGTATGTTTCAATTCCACCCATAAGCTTCACCCTGCAAGGTTAGATTTAACAACAAATCTGTATGTAGCCAGCAGGGCTTGCTCCTTTTAAAAGTTACTTGCCCTTCTCCAAACTGGCCTACAACTAAATGGTGGGTAGCCACCTAGCGGGGCTCTGAAATTTGTATGACTCCTCACCCCTTAAACGCTGACATATATCTTATTTTCTCATCGAGCAGTGTCCAATTAAGAAAATTAAACATACACGGAGGAGGGTGAATTTTGTCTAACCAGATGGGCCATCTACTTCATGTTTCAGCAAGCCCTTTGTAATTTTAACTGTCCATGGACCAACGGTCCAGCAGTTAAATTGACCCCTGCCCTGTAGGGATTCCGGGTTGGAATATGTCCCCAGGTGGTTAGGGACGAATAAATGGGTCAGGTGGTCAGGCTCTGCGACCTGGTTGATTGCCGATGTATAGAGGAAATACTGCTGAGTGTGGGGTTAAACAATAAGACCGCTTGCACGCACGCACGCACACTCTCATCCACACCGACACTCACAACACTAGCAGACCCGTGAAGATCCAGGGTAGAATAGGTCTTAGGCAATCCATGCTTGTTGTAAAAGGTGACTATGCTTGTCGTAAATGGGATCGGGTGGTCAGGCTCGCTGACTTGGTTGATGCATGTCATCGTATCCAAATTGCGTGGATCGATGCTCATGATGTCAGTCACTGGAGTGTCCAGACTTGATTATTTACAGACCGCCGTCATATAGATGGAATATTGCTGAGTGCTGCGTAAAACAAACCAACCAACCACAACACGCGCGCACATGCGCACATGCACACACTCGCTCTGAGCTGCCTGTGGAACAAATGTATTGTAGTGGGTTGATTCAACTGGCACTATCAACCCAATAAAGAACACAACATGTTTCACAAGCAACAACTGAAATGGGGACCAGATGGTCACAATGGCTGCTTTTATGTGGTACATTGATAGCTCACAACCTGGGAAGACTGTAGTGACCGAGCTGTCATTTTACAAGGATTTTGCTGTAGACAGAGAACAGTAGGATATTTTCATGATTATATTAACTTTACATCTATGTCTCTACCAAATTTGGAAACTATTTAAAGGACATTTTGGATGACCTATCATTGAAGGCAGCTCTGTGCACAACCACTATTTTCAATTATGTTCAAAAGTAATTTCATCCTTGGCTGGGGTTCAGCCCAAATGGAGCATTACATGAAAAAGAATAAGTTTTAAGTTTACTTTTTGATGCTAAAAAACTATTCCATCAGTTTCATGCTCCCAGACAGCCACACCCAGGCATGCACTGTGTGGACCAGGTTTATGCTGGTGTCCCACCCTGTGTGTCTCAACGCTGTGATAATATGTGGTGACATTGACCCCCTGTCTGCGAAACACCGATAGTGTAGGCTGACCTTTGACCTGCGTATTGGCATGCTCTGCTTTGCCTGTAGGGCATGTGGTCTGTGATATCACAGCAGGTCACTAGGAAGTGATTACATGACAGGTGTGTTCTGACACTGGGATCATGGACCGGCAGTGTTATCACCCACAAGGGTCATTTGGAGGTGTGCATCATCATCAAGGAATGTAACAATGTAATCAAAATATGTGGCAGAAATTGAGTGTCACTGTGTTTTTAATATAGAATTCACCAACTGGTAAATATGTAATAGAAGCTGATGATTTTATAATGATGGTGTTTGGGGAAATAAATTGTTTCAAATCCCTGTTAGGTAACTGTGCTGGGATGTAGAGTAGTTTAGTGGTTAAAGTGTTTCCTCATCTCACCTAGACCAGGGTTTGATTCCCAACATGAGTACAATCCATGAAGCCCATTCTTGGTGTCCCTCATCTTGAAATTACTGTTATCTATGTAGAAAGGGATGTTGGGACTCCACAGTTCAAGTGAAGGGGAGGTAATGCTTGTGTTGTGGGTAAATTGTTCTTCATATATTGTATGACGTTGCTTGTGTCGTAGGCTGATGCATCCCTGGAGATGGAGAGGCGGGGATTCTACCAGGCATCCATGAAGTACGTGCTGCAGCTCCAGGAGGTCCAAGAGAAGAAGAAGTTCGAGTTTGTGGAGATTGTGAGTAGTTTCATTGCTAACAACAGCCTTAGACACTGAAATAAGATATGCAGAGTTACATCCCTTGCCCATGCCAGCATGATTGTTGTGGGTTCAGTTCCAAGATTAGCTTTAATTATTATCCTTTTTGTCAGTTACATAACCATGCCATGGTTTTTCATGAAACCAGAAGATCTGGGGTAGAATAGGTCTTCAGCAACCCATGCTTGCTGTAAAAGGCGACTGTGCTTGTCGTAAAAGGCTACTAACGGGATTGGGTGGTCAGGCCTACTGACTTCCTTGATGCCCGTCATCGTATCCTAATGGCGTGGATTGATGCTTATGATATCAATCTCCGGATTGTGTGGTCCAGACTGAATTATTTATAGACCGCCGTCAGGGCGGTTGGGTAGCCTAGTGGTTAAAACGTTCTCTCGTCATGCCGAAGACTTGGGTTCGATTCCCGACATGGGTACAATGTGTGAAGCCCATTTCTGATGTCCCCAAGCCAAGATATGGCTGGAATATTGCTAAAAGCGGCGTAAAACCATACTCACTCACTACAGACCTCCGTCTTATAGCTGGAATATTGCTGATTGTGGTGTTAAACAACAAACAAACAAACAAACAAACATACATGAAAGCGGTGAACATTATGCTCTCATTCAATGTTGAAATGCCATGATATTACTGAAAACCCTCTTCTTAATGTTCAAAGCAGCATTAAACCCAATTCAGTCACCCAAACAGTTTTTAAGGCAATCTTACCCTTGGAGGTGGGTGTATAATCATCACCTCAGAATTGAATGCCAGCTCTATGGTTTGTTTGGAAAGGTTCAAATTGTGGAATATTCAGAGATTTGGCTTTTCAGCTGAACCACATTTCTGTTTAATTCACCCCTGATTTAAAATAATTCTATAGAGTTGTTCAGTTTCTGTGTGTGAAAATAACATGTGTTTCATCTGATGTATGTATGTGGATAGAGTGGTGTGTTGAGATCTTTGTTCCGTTTCCAGCTCCTGACCTTCATGTACAGTTGGCTGACATTTTACCATCAAGGTAGGTAACTCTGTTTCCCTATAACTCTTCCAAGGAAAGGGAGTGGAGTGGACCGACTTAAAAACACAAGGATGGGCGGACAGTCAGTATCCATCTCCTGGTTACAGGACTAATGTACCAGTACATTGTAGAATATCACAAACATGTCAGATGTCAAGACATTGTAATACCTAAATTAACACTGATGTTTAACTTACAATTGTAAGAAATGGGTACCTAAAGCATAATCTAACCTAATATTACATCTTTTTTTTTTTTAAATATAAGATAAAATGTTAGGATCATTGCGTTTCTTTCCATCTTCATGAGAGATGCCACGTTGTTGTTTCAGGTCATGAGGCTGCTGGAGAGTTTAAGCCCTACATGCTTGACCTACAAATGAGACTCCAAAAGGTAATGGGTGGGTGATACAGGTTCAGGGCTGGAGAAAGTATAGAGCTGAATGTAATTCTGGATAAGTTTCAGTCTCATGAATTGCTAGCTGTGGAAAGTTATTGAAATGAATCATGATTTCATTATGTACTCGTCTTCCATTTTTGCAAAGAAGCAACACCATCTCTGAAATGGAGATGCTGATATTGGACTTATGGTTTCGAAAAAACTTTATACTACATGTAAAGGGGAAGTAACTATGACATGCGAGTATACAAGCAAGTCTTTGATAGATTGCTCCCAGACCTTCAGACAAGAGTAACACAAGTAAAGATGTCACTATTGAGCTATACAAACTGCCTCATTTCCCCTTGCTTGATGTAAGAGGTCCCTTTCAGGATTCTAGGGAGGAATAGGTCGCCAGTACCCATTTCTTGTTGTACAAGGTCCCTTTCAGGGACCCGTGAAGATTCCGGGGTAGAATAGGTCTTCAGCCACCAATGCTTGCCGTAAAAGGCGACTATGCTTGTCGTAAAAGGCGACTTACCGGATCGGGTGGTCAGGCTCGCTGACTTGGTTAATGCATGTCATCGTATCCCAATTGCGTGGATCGATGCTCATGATATTAATCACTGGATTGTCTGGTCCAGACTCGTATATTTTCAGACCGCCGTCATATAGCTGGAATATTGCTGAGTGCTGTGTTAAACAACAAACCAACCAACCAACCAACCCTTTCAGGATTCTAGGGAGGAATAGGTACCAAGTACTCCTTGCTTGCTGTAAGAGGCCCTGTCAGGATTCTCGGGAAGAATAGGTCCCCAGTAACCCTTGCTTGTTGTAAGACTGCTTGGTTGCTTGGTTGCTTGGTTTGTTGCTGAACGCCCCACTCAGCAATATTCGAGCTACATGCCGGTATAAATAAATAATCGAATATCATGAGCATTGATCCACGCAATTGGGATCGATGACATGCATCACCCAATCCCGTTAGTCACCTCTTACAACAAGCCTTTTATAGCATGCATGGGTTGCTGAAGACCTATTCTACCCCGGATCTTCACGGGTTGTTGTAAGACTGGGATATGATTGACAACCTGACTGGTAATGATAGTTGACAGTGTAGTTCATTGCCCAGTAGTTAGTGCACTAGCTCAGCATATGGGTTTTGTTCTCTGTATTATGTGGAGATAGGTTCATTCTTGGAGTCCCCTGGCATCCTGATGTTACCATTTAAAACCCTACCCACTCCCTCCAACACCACACTGCTGCTTCCTGTGTTTCAGACTCGAGGAAACTTTGAAAGTACGAGCAACCAGGCCGAGGAGTTGATGAACAAGATGCTGGAGGTCCGTGGCACGGTAATTAGACCTCCATGTTTTCCCACTTCTCAGGGCTGCCGACAACATCATCCAGTAAACCACAATCTCATCTCCATCGCTGTAGCTTAGTAACTCTGTTGTCCCACTCAGTCAAGCCTGGTTATCATGGTGTAAAGTTGGATTCATTCTCAAAAACACTTTCCAAATTTCCATTTTAATGCTGCCAATGTAGTTCCTTTAAATACTTTTGATTTATTAATTATTGGATTATTTTTGTTGATATTCAGATGTGAATTGCAAAAGTTGAATACAAAATAATTCATGTATTTGAGTCAGTTTCATATTTTATAACAAGGGTTGATTAAGGTGACAGTCTCTCTAAATATGACTTTATCTTCTTGTATTTCCTTTTTCTTGCAACTAGCGCATTTTGCTTTGCAAATATTTTGCATCAAAATTTCTGTAATGCACTGTTGCAGAAAATGTCTTGAAAGTATCTTTGATGGATGAGATTGTGGTTGATGGTGTATATCTCCTCATGTATGTATTCCAGTAATTATATCATCTATTCATCTAGATTCCTGAATATATTCTGTTCCTGATGAAAGTGTTACTTTTCAATACTGACATTGATAATGCTGATAACCCTAAATTTCTCGTTCTAAGCATCATGTGTGCATGAATCTCAGCAGCGACGAGTTGTCTAACTCATACTTTGTGAAGTCTTGCCCTGATTTGGTGAATAGCATGGAAGACTGGTTGTGGCACTACTAAAATATACAGGCTTGAGCAAATATGTCTGCCATTACTCAGGAGCAAAGTTAACTACCATTGTAATACTCACATCTCCTTTCACTGAAGGTTAGCTTTTAAGTCATATCAAGTTGAGAATTCAGAACATTGAACAGCCTAAAAACAATTTCGTGCAAATATATTGAGACCAACAAGACACTTGTAATGTCTTGGATAAAGTTTGTTTCAAGTTAATATGTTTTTGAGTTTTTACAAATATTTGAATACTTAAATTTTAGGATCTCTTGAGTCTAATACAGGGATGAAGAATTTTGTGAATTTTGCTATGTACATGCCGTTACAATATATGCAAAAGTCATGTAGTCCCGGAAACCCTTGGCTAACTTTCAGTGTTTGGTGGAAAAACTTTCTCATCCCTGCTAATAATAAGGATGCTAGTGTTTCGATTTCTCCACCTTTATTTTCATTCAACCTTTGAACCCATGTCATGCAGAGTTACCCCCCTTTATGATGTTGGTACAACTTGCTCCTCATGTTCTGACAGAGTTTGCTTCTGTTTGAGATGTTGATGTGTTGATGTGCACAAGTGTTCATAGCTAGAGCTAATAAACTCATACCTAGCCGTGCAAGTTTTTTTTTGTTACTTATTTTTTGCTCCAGGAATCATTTATAATGACCATGTTCATTATTTTATGTTTCTTGTAGTATTTGAACAGATGTCTTGAGAGGATTCAAATGCCTGTAACTATATTTTTGGTTTTCAAGAGTGACAACTTTTCATTGCATAGTTAATATACTGAAACTGCTCAATATTTGGATACCCTTGCACTTTATCATGACTGTACAACTAATATCACCTTTACAATTTATTGCATTTGCGACAGCATTTAAGAGGCTGCTAATTTCAGTAATGAATTCACATTTCATGTCAATTTCTGAAATTTGAATAATGCTCAGGCAAATTAAAGAAGCTAAAATCGTCAGTACCTTGCTTCCGTACATTTGTCTTGGATGGCCTTTCGCGCTTGAAGGCATGAAGTTTGAATTGAGCAAATGTTGGCGCTTTGTGGCACTGGAATTCCAGCATTAAAGGAGTGGTGGTGTATGTCGCTTTATGACGGTAGTATTCCAGCCTTACAAGCCTGGTGGTGTATTCCGGCATTACGTGTGGTGATATGTAGGTGCAGGTATGCATCATGGCTGGTATATTGTGTGCTTAACAATTGGATGGATGTGTATTGAACTGCGATATCTTGCTTCACATCTGCTGTTATTTGCTGCCTCTAAAAGCATTGTCAGCATTACTGGGTTTTCAGATAATTGCTTAGCTCTTTTCAAGCTTCCTTGTTCACTATCAGAACAATATTTACTTGTTAAGCTTTTACATATCTTGCCTATGAACTCTAGGACATTTCCAGACAATCCTATCTGTCTCATTTTCTTCTCTTGAAATATGTATGGCCATGTTCCACACCCCTCGGAAACTGGTAGGGCAGCATTCAGTTGGTTCAAGAACATCCTGTTCTAGCCAATCAGATGGTTGCCTGGATATGACGTTGTAACCAATCAGAACTGTCCTTGTAAAAGTTGTCTGCTGTGACTTTGTGGCTCCAAAATGTTTCCACAAATGTTTCCGGACAGATCAACTATTCATGAAAAAGAACATTTCAGACAGAAGACATGATTAAAACTCATCTGTCACTTGAAACAGTCTTGATTGGTTGCTTTAGTCACATGGAGTCTTTTTTGAGTGGGGTATATATGCTTCTAAAAATAAGTTAAGGACCACCCATTTTTTTATATCACTGTAGTTAGTCTGTCAGTTTAACTGTATTAATATGAAAAAATCGGATGGCCTTAAACATTTTTTGAGTGGTATATGATGGCAGTTGTCAAGGGACGTGTATTGTCGATGGAACATAGTCTTGATTTCAAGGCTACAAGAATTAAAACCTTACAATGGTGTGTAGATACTGTGTTATATCATAAGTCTGAATGTAGAAGTGGTTAATGAAAGTCTGATTTTGTATTGCACTATGTTTTTTGCGTTAAATTGAATTATCTGAAGACCCAGTTTGAACTTACCACTGGCTTTCACATCTGACACTAACGCTGGCTTATATTATAGCTCCCAGCGTCGGGCGCACCTGCATTCTTGGTAAGGGCACTCTCTTCTGTATCCAACCCGTAGTTCAACTAAATGTGTCGTAGTTCATCCTCGTCTTCCCAATCCCTTCTGCATTGAGAGTAGCTTGTTTATTTGTTGATCAAATATCAATATATTTCTATTTTTGATAATAAATAGATTCCATTGACATGTTTTCTCTCATTAATAAAATAATTTTTAGGAATATATTATTTTGTAGATATGTGGTACTGCATGAGTAGATACATTACTTTTGAATGAACCAAGTAGATCTCACAGTTACAAGTTTACATGATGATGTGCATGAGACTTACAATGAATTGATCCACATTTTGCCACTGTGTTTTGTGAGTTTGGTTTGAGCACTGTAGTGTGATGGTTTGCAGACAGGACTAATCACCTTGCAGAGATCGCTAACCCTGTCACACTGGAGTTTCACCACCATGTCATGTTCATCTTAGTCTCGTTGAATGTCACATGGTTCTTGTTGATATGTCAAGGCATTGATGACTTGTTTGGGCTGTGTTGTGAGTGATCATTGTCACTTGGATAATCCTTGGTACTGTATGGAATCAGGGCCAACTTGTGTCTACTAATGCTGTTGGTGTCATTGTCGGAAGAGGTACTACAGAAATGTACCCCAGCATGGCAGTCTATGTACAGCACTGGCCATGTTCTCAATGCATGAAACCATTTTCAGTTTGGCTCTCGACCCGTGAAGATCAGGCGTAGAAGAGGTCTTCACCAACCCATGTTTGCCGTAAAAGACGACGTTGCTTGCTGTAAGAGGCAATTAACAGGATCAGGTTGTCAGGCTCGCTGACTTGGTTGATGGCCTGAAGATCCTGGGTAGAATAGGTCTTCAGCAAGCCATGCTTGCCTTAAGAGATGACTGTGCTTGCTGTAAGAGGCTACTAACGGGATCGGATGGTCAGGCTCACTGACTTGGTTGATGCATGTCATCATATCCCAATTGCCCAGATCGATGCTCATGATGTCAATCACTGGATTGTTTGTCCAGACTCCATTATTTACAGACTGCTGCAATATTGCTGCATTAAACATCAAAGAAACAAACTGACAAACTTCAGCACCATTTGCATATTGCCATGGTGGGGTACATTTCTTTGCTCATCTGATTTTGGTTTGAGTACCTTTTTGTATGTAGAAAGGTGCTATCTGTTACTAACCAGGGGTTTAGCCCAGTGGTTAGTGCTTCACACAAGGAACAGGTTCAGTCCCAACATCGGTTTACATGCTATAGCCCAGTCTTCATCTCGCCATGACACTTCTGCATGACACGGTACACTCTCACATGGCTTCTTCCCCCATTGTCATTACCAGCTGTGTCCTATAGCCACTTAACCAAACACATCATTCCAGCCACATGTGCTGTCTGTGTAGGAAGAGGACATTTTGTCTGAATAGTCTAACAACATCTGTGTAACATCTTCCTGTAGCCACACGCAGCACTGTGTACAGATTGAGTGATGTACTCACAGGATAGCAAGATCACATGCATGGTGCAGTTATGAAGCCCTCCAGAAACATTCACTGCCTTTCTCCATCGCTAAACAAATTTTCCATATAATTTCAAATTTGTGTTATTTCTTTTAAATCCTGCCACATGAACATATTTTGATTTATTTTTGTTTGAACTACCAATGTTGCTGCACACACACATACATACATTGCATGAAGTTCGGTTGAACAACATGCTTTATTTTTGTTTATTTCCCCTTTCACAGACCAATGACCAGCATGCTTACTCTGACAGAAAGACATCAGTTACATCCAGTAATGGCTGCCTCCGTTCGAGCAGAAAGGTTATTAAGTCTGAAACGCATACAGAATTATGAAGAATGATAAAGAGTTGGTTGTTCATGTTGTGGTGAATGTTGCACTGGTCCCATCTCATGGTAGGTTGTGTCATCACCATGTGGTACTAGTCTCTGGAAGATGGTTCCTGCAGAAAGTAACCATGTCATTAAATCATTCATTTCATGAATACTGATTTCATGTGCTTGTCCCTACCATATGCTGCTTGTGACTTTGAGATTTTTGTTTTGGTATTAACAAGAGTATTTGAGGGACAATATTTTAAAATTAAGACTTCAGTATCAAATTGTGACCCATGAACAGGGGTCTGATAATTCTTGCAAATCCACCTCATTTCACTGGTGTAGGTTTCTGTCATAACAGAAATAAATATCTTTTTTACAACCAAAAAATTCCCTGATCATTCAGCTTAAGAAAGTCATGGCCAGTCCAAGGTGTCAGATTTAACATACATACTTTGGCAAAATGTGGATGGAATTTGTTCTCAGTAACACCAGTCTCCAACTTAAAGTCAGAATGTAAAGAGATCTTTAGCAAAACAGTAAATCAGTCAAAGTGTTTTTTTAAGCATTAAGGCAATGACACATATTTATAGTGCAGATTTTTAGGATAAAGGAAGTGTTATGGGATAGGCATTGTGTACATTCCCAGAGCTTTCTTATGTCATGCTATAACAGAGAGTTGTGTTGCACAGAGGCCCATAGAGTCGTCCGGGACCATGCGAGGATTTACCCGACAAGGTTATCTGTATCTCTTGGAGAAAAGTAAGTACCACTCTGATATTCTGGGAGAGAGTGAGTGAATGTTGTCTCACACCACACACAGCAATTCTCCAGCTATGCCATGGTGGCCTGTAAGTAAGCCAGTCTTAGGACAGGCAAACCAATGGTTGATTGCACCAGGATGCTTGCTGTATGGGTGTAAGCAATCAATCAGGTCACACATTAGGACCTCCCAATTATCATTTTAGTCAACTCCAATCTTCATTGTTTTTTTGGTTACAGAATTTCTCTTGGTTTTGCAAATATTCAGGATTTGTTTTCATTATGGACCAATTATGTGCCCAATTGCATTTATTGTATTCAAAGATAGTTAAGATAGTGAAGGGCTCCCAATGGCTAAGATACTAAAGGATGTCCAATAGTTAAGATAGTGAATGGTGCCCAATGGTAAAGATAGTGAAAGGTGCCCAATGGTTAAGATAGTGAAGGGTGCCCAATGGTTAAGATAGTGAAGGGTGCCCAATGGTTAAGATAGTGAATGGTGCCCAATGGTAAAGATAGTGAAGGATGTCTAATGGTTAAGATAGTGAAGGATGTCTAATGGTTAAGATAGTGAAGGGTGCCCAATGGTTAACAATAGTGAATGGTGCCCAATGGTAAAGATAGTGAAGGGTGTCCAATGGTTAGGATAGTGAAGGGTGCCCAATGGTAAAGATAGTGAAGGGTGTCCAATGGTTAAGATAGTGAAGGGTGCCCAATGGTAAAGATAGTGAAGGGTGCCCAATGGTTAAGATAGTGAAGGATGTCTAATGGTTAAGATAGTGAAGGGTGCCCAATGGTTAACAATAGTGAATGGTGCCCAATGGTAAAGATAGTGAAGGGTGTCCAATGGTTAGGATAGTGAAGGGTGCCCAATGGTAAAGATAGTGAAGGGTGTCCAATGGTTAAGATAGTGAAGGGTGCCCAATGGTAAAGATAGTGAAGGGTGCCCAATGGTTAAGATAGTGAAGGGTGCCCAATGGTTAAGATAGTGAAGGGTGCCCAATGGTAAAGATAGTGAAAGGTGCCCAATGGTTACGATAATATTGTTGGATACAGGGCAGTACCACTATAAGAAGTTTCCTTTTTGGGTGTCGTACGAAAGACTGTGCCACAGTATAAGGCGATACAGAATGTGCTTTTATGACATTGTCTTACCGTTAAGCAACAGTTAAACTGGTTGGCATATAAATGGTGATGTGTGATTCCTGTTTACAGAGGCTCTGGGAACAACATGGACCAAATTCTACTGCCAGTACAAGAAGGAGACGAAAGAATTCTACATGATCCTGTACAACCAGATGGGGGGCAAGATGGTAAGGTGGATCTTACATCGGGGATAGAACAACTACCAATGTAGCAGTAACAGAATCAGCCACATCCTCAGTGCTGGACCGGTGTGGGGATTCCTGGTCTGGTCTGACTCACTCTCCGAAATCCATACTTCTGTATTAGATTTGTATTGAGTTGTCATAATGATTGCTGAGTGAATGCCAGCTGTAATTAAGACCTCTGCCAAATGAACTTGCCCATTTAGCACTACTACCTTACTAAGATAGAGTCCCAACCTCCAAGCTCCTCCTTGCCTCAAATGGCTATCCAAATACCCGGAGTGCTGACTTGTATTTGTGAAACATATTCACCTCCAACCTACCATCCTTGCTGCAAATGGCTATCCAAATACCCTGAGTGCTGAATCCCGATGGACTTGTATTGGTGAAACATATTCACCTCCAACCTCCCATCCTTGCTGCAAATGGCTATCCAAATACCCTTCAGTGCCGAATCGTGATAGAGTTTGTTAATCAGCCAGGGTGAACAGAAGACAGCGGTGCTTGTGGTCGTACCACTAGGATCGCCTTCACTTTCATCTCTTCTCCCACAATCAGCTGACGCCATTTGACGCGACGATAAACTCAATTCGCTCTCTTACTCTTTCAAAATCCATTGACATGCCATGATATGATTGAGAAGCATTGAACCTAATTCATTCGCCGCTAACATATGATTTAGTAGCATATCCTTTGATGATTATTTTGTCCATTCATTACGTTTTTGAGTCAACACTGGTCATATGTTATGCCATCAAAGAGGTCTTGATCAAGTATGTATGTAGATCATACGGACAAGCAATTACTTAGGCTTTATCCTAGTATAGAGGAACGATACACAGATGCATCAGTGGATCATGATTTTTTACTTCTCGATACAAGTATCAATCACAGTAGCACACGAAGTAAAAAGTATCGATTCTTACCTTAAATGCTTTCTTTAGTAAATGTAACACCAAACACTGATTACTAGTGAAAATAAATAGTGAAAACATCAATATTTTAATCCGTTGCACCATACTTGACACTGCTAACTGTAAGGCGTTATTTGGCAATCCTGTCTATGACAAAGATGGATTACGTACCACTGATAAGAGCACATGCAAGTATCGTGATGCGTATCGAATCGTGAAGGAAGGTATCGTGATATGGATCGGATCTCACAGTTGGTGTATCGTCCCAGCCCTAACTGCTCGTTTAGCCACACAATTGATTAAGGTTCTTCAAGAGTATATACAGCTAATTTCCTCTTCCTCTCTTTCAGAGTACTCCCGACCGCTATGTCTTGGACTCCTGTGTCAGGTATGAGTTCTAACTTACCTAACTCAGGAAGAAAGTTCCATGACTGTCCCATCAAAGTCACCCTGATTTTTTTCTAGTCAGCACCATACCATGTTGTGGGTTTCACCAAATTGGTAAACGTCTGCATTACTTTTGGGCTTACCTCCAAAATCAAGCTGACACGTTGTGATGTAACTGAAATACTGTATTGTTCAAAGCAGCTTTAAACCCAATTCACTCAGTGATAAAAGTAAATGACCCTGTTTAACTAAGCAAGCTTAAAGTTTGGCAGTTAGGAGAGCCCCAGCATGACAGAAGCTTTTTATAAAAGGTCAGTTATCAGTTCCCAATGTTTCTTGCAAGAGTTCATAAAAAAATTCTATCGGGGCGTGGGTGGCCCAGTTGTCTAAGCAGAATTACATCCCTTAGGTGTGCCAGGAACCTGTAACCAAGTTCTGGTTTCTTAGTTCCATACCGGTACTCGTGGGATTCACTAAAATGGAAACTGTCTTAGACCTGCATCACTCTGGCCTTCCTCCCACATCAAACTGACACCCTGTGATATAACTGAAATACTGTTCAAAACAACGTTAAGCACAACTCGGTCACGACAATAATGTCCAATCTGAGCAGGACACATGAAGATCCGGGGTAGAATAGGTCTTCAGCAACCCATGCTTGCCGTAACAGGCGACTATGTTTGTTGTAAAAGGCGACTAATGGGATCGGGTGGTCAGGCTCGCTGACTTGGTTGATCCCAATTGCGTGGATCGATGCTCATGGTGTCAATCACTGGATTGTCTGGTCCAGACTCGATTATTAACAGACCGCCATCATATAGCTGGAATATTGCTGTGTGCTGCGTTAAACAACAAACAAACAATCTGAGCAGCCATATGGACTGAAGGGTTCTTTGGCAAAACTCTTTGAACAATGTGTGAAACTCATGCATTGTGTCCCTTCTGTTGTATTGGTGGAGTTTCACTATAAGCGCCACTAAACAGTCTCACTTGAAAAGTCATAACTGTTTTTCTTTCAGACGTGCCTCAGATTCCATAGAGAAACGTTTCTGCTTCGATCTGACAGTGAAAGAAAAGTAAGTACATGTCTTCATGCAAGTTTCCAACAGATAACTCAATAACAATAACAACTTCCTCATTGTGTGGAGTTTTGCAGGAGATAGATACGTGGAAGTTGTCAAGATTCACGTTAAACAACAGAATGTATAGTTGTTGTAGACAGGTTCTCACACAGGAATGTGAGGGCAGTGCCTGGTAAGTGGTCATATAATGGGTGCACTTGAGAGGTGTTGTGTTGTAACACTGCCTGTACCCTGGGGAATCCCAGTGATATGTTCTGTAAGTTTATCTGGCATTGAGTTCTTAGAGAAAGAGGGGTTTAGTTGTAACACTGTCTGTACCCTAGAGAATCCCAATGACATATTCTATTAGTGTAGTTGTAACACAGTCTGTACCCTAGAGAATCCCAATGACATATTCTATTAGTGTAGTTGTAACACTGTCTGTACCCTGGGGAATCCCAATGACATATTCTATCAGTGTAGTTGTAACACTGTCTGTACCCTGGGGAATCCCAATGACATATTCTATTAGTGTAGTTGTGACACTGTCTGTACCCTGGAGAATCCCAATGACATATTCTATTAGTGTAGTTGTAACACTGTCTGTACCCTGGAGAATCCCAATGACATATTCTATAAGTGTAGTTGTAACACTGTCTGTACCCTAGAGAATCCCAATGACATATTCTATCAGTGTAGTTGTAACACTGTCTGTACCCTGGGGAATCCCAATGACATATTCTATTAGTGTAGTTGTGACACTGTCTGTACCCTGGGGAATCCCAATGACATATTCTATTAGTGTAGTTGTAACACTGTCTGTACCCTGGGGAATCCCAATGACATATTCTATTAGTGTAGTTGTGACACTGTCTGTACCCTGGGGAATCCCAATGACATATTCTATTAGTGTAGTTGTAACACTGTCTGTACCCTGGGGAATCCCAATGACATATTCTATCAGTGTAGTTGTAACACTGTCTGTACCCTGGGGAATCCCAATGACATATTCTATTAGTGTAGTTGTGACACTGTCTGTACCCTGGGGAATCCCAGTGATATGTTCTGTAAGTTTATCTGGCATTGAGTTCTTAGAGAAAGAGGGGTTTAGTTGTAACACTGTCTGTACCCTAGAGAATCCCAATGACATATTCTATCAGTGTAGTTGTAACACTGTCTGTACCCTGGGGAATCCCAATGACATATTCTATTAGTGTAGTTGTGACACTGCCTGTACCCTGGGGAATCCCAGTGATATGTTCTGTAAGTTTATCTGGCATTGAGTTCTTAGAGAAAGAGGGGTTTAGTTGTAACACTGTCTGTACCCTAGAGAATCCCAATGACATATTCTATAAGTGTAGTTGTAACACTGTCTGTACCCTAGAGAATCCCAATGACATATTCTATCAGTGTAGTTGTAACACTGTCTGTACCCTGGGGAATCCCAATGACATATTCTATTAGTGTAGTTGTGACACTGTCTGTACCCTGGGGAATCCCAATGACATATTCTATTAGTGTAGTTGTAACACTGTCTGTACCCTGGAGAATCCCAATGACATATTCTATTAGTGTAGTTGTGACACTGTCTGTACCCTGGAGAATCCCAATGACATATTCTATTAGTGTAGTTGTAACACTGTCTGTACCCTGGGGAATCCCAATGACATATTCTATTAGTGTAGTTGTGACACTGTGTGTACCCTGGGGAATCCCAATGACATATTCTATTAGTGTAGTTGTAACACTGTCTGTACCCTGGAGAATCCCAATGACATATTCTATTAGTGTAGTTGTGACACTGTCTGTACCCTGGGGAATCCCAATGACATATTCTATTAGTGTAGTTGTGACACTGTCTGTACCCTGGAGAATCCCAATGACATATTCTATTAGTGTAGTTGTAACACTGTCTGTACCCTGGGGAATCCCAATGACATATTCTATTAGTGTAGTTGTGACACTGTCTGTACCCTGGAGAATCCCAATGACATATTCTATTAGTGTAGTTGTAACACTGTCTGTACCCTGGGGAATCCCAATGACATATTCTATTAGTGTAGTTGTGACACTGTCTGTACCCTGGAGAATCCCAATGACATATTCTATTAGTGTAGTTGTGACACTGTCTGTACCCTGGAGAATCCCAATGACATATTCTATTAGTGTAGTTGTAACACTGTCTGTACCCTGGAGAATCCCAATGACATATTCTATTAGTGTAGTTGTAACACTGTCTGTACCCTGGGGAATCCCAATGACATATTCTATTAGTGTAGTTGTGACACTGTCTGTACCCTGGAGAATCCCAATGACATATTCTATTAGTGTAGTTGTAACACTGTCTGTACCCTGGGGAATCCCAATGACATATTCTATTAGTGTAGTTGTGACACTGTCTGTACCCTGGAGAATCCCAATGACATATTCTATTAGTGTAGTTGTAACACTGTCTGTACCCTGGGGAATCCCAATGACATATTCTATTAGTGTAGTTGTGACACTGTCTGTACCCTGGGGAATCCCAATGACATATTCTATTAGTGTAGTTGTAACACTGTCTGTACCCTAGAGAATCCCAATGACATATTCTATTAGTGTAGTTGTGACACTGTCTGTACCCTGGGGAATCCCAATGACATATTCTATTAGTGTAGTTGTGACACTGTCTGTACCCTAGAGAATCCCAATGACATATTCTATTAGTGTAGTTGTAACACTGTCTGTACCCTGGGGAATCCCAATGACATATTCTATTAGTGTAGTTGTGACACTGTCTGTACCCTGGAGAATCCCAATGACATATTCTATTAGTGTAGTTGTAACACTGTCTGTACCCTGGGGAATCCCAATGACATATTCTATTAGTGTAGTTGTGACACTGTCTGTACCCTGGGGAATCCCAATGACATATTCTATTAGTGTAGTTGTGACACTGTCTGTACCCTGGAGAATCCCAATGACATATTCTATTAGTGTAGTTGTGACACTGTCTGTACCCTGGAGAATCCCAATGACATATTCTATTAGTGTAGTTGTAACACTGTCTGTACCCTGGGGAATCCCAATGACATATTCTATTAGTGTAGTTGTGACACTGTCTGTACCCTGGAGAATCCCAATGACATATTCTATTAGTGTAGTTGTAACACTGTCTGTACCCTGGGGAATCCCAATGACATATTCTATTAGTGTAGTTGTGACACTGTCTGTACCCTGGAGAATCCCAATGACATATTCTATTAGTGTAGTTGTAACACTGTCTGTACCCTGGAGAATCCCAATGACATATTCTATTAGTGTAGTTGTAACACTGTCTGTACCCTGGGGAATCCCAATGACATATTCTATTAGTGTAGTTGTGACACTGTCTGTACCCTGGAGAATCCCAATGACATATTCTATTAGTGTAGTTGTAACACTGTCTGTACCCTGGGGAATCCCAATGACATATTCTATTAGTTTAGGTGGGGCGAAGAAGGTCGGGGTTGAGTTGCCTTGAACATGTTGGTGCCGAGTGGAATTGTGTACATCATGCTGCTTGTGAAAGGGGACTACAGTGGGAGCTGTGGTCACAATAGTAGGACTTTGAATGGGTGACTGCTAGAGTAGACATGCAGCCTGACTATATGGATGTGGCTCACAATATTGACCACCGGTTTGTCTGCTCCAGACTTGATCAACTACCCGCTGTTCATACTGCATTAAACCTACTCTGTGTACGACTTTAGCCACTTGTCCGAAGCTTGAGTCTACTCAAATTCTGTTTAGCTCTGCTCATATTGGTCCATAACGTAACACTATTATCTACTGAAAATGATGCTAACAGCCATGTTCAGCTTGTAGACTCAGCATTATTAGCACAGACAGCTCACTCACTCATTCATGTTCATGGTGTAATCACAGCATTGACTGGTCAACCATCTCAACATACATTCAGACCTCTTCTTCTTTATTGTTTCAGAAATGTGACAATGACTTTCCAGTGTTTATCAGAAGAAGATAGGAAGGCTTGGATGAGTGCTATGGACGGGAAAGAACCGGTGCGTCACATGTAGTTTCCTATCCTATCGTCTCTGACACTCGGTGTATTTCAGTTGATGGTTCCTGCGCTGACCTCACAACATGCCAGTTTCAAAACTGATATATTTTTGGTGAAAAACATTCTCAGAATTTCAATATGCAGTAAAGATGCTTAGGGAAAATATGTTATGTACGATGGACTAGGTTAAGTTCAACTGAATTTGTGGATCCACTCAATTACTTGCCGTGAACTATTATAGATGTGTGCCTATTCAGTTGGTTGCTATGCACTATTGAAGATGTGTGTCCTCTTGCAGGTGTACCATGCCCCGAAAGCAAGGAATGAAGAAGGTGAGTGTTTCTAAAGAGATGGTCATGCATAGTTTAGTACCCAAATTCAGACCCAGGTCAAGAGGGGACAATTAGATTGGGTGGTCAGGCTCTGGGACGGCCCAACGGCCTAATGGCAAGCACAGGGACGTCCCAACAGCCTAATGGCAAGCACAGGGACATCCCAACGGCCTAATGGCAAGCACAGGGACTTCCCAACGGCCTAATGGCAAGCACAGGGACGGCCCAACAGCCTAATGGCAAGCACAGAGACGGCCTAATGGCAAGCATAGGGACGGCCCAACAGCCTAATGGCAAGCACAGGACCAGCCCAACGGCCTAATGGCAAGCACTGGTTTCTCTGATCACAAGCACACAGTCAGTGATCTAACCTATTCAGCCAAAGGCATTGTGTATTCATAGCTGTCGGCCATGGGAGCTGTACCAATTTACACTTGTCAGGCGAGTACACAAAGTACATGATCTTGACTACCAGTTGTTGGACTTTCATTTTTGTGGAAGTCTCGGTGGCTGAGTGGGTTAGATCGCTGCTTTCTATGCTGGCAATTAGGTGTCTCACTCTGGCAGTGTGGGTTCGAATCCTTGATTGGACTAAACCCAAAACAAGTACCAGAATCTGTACTTTACTGATAAAGTATTATTCCAAATATAAAATTTGTCATATTTGACCACTTTCTAAATGACATTGTGTATTCATGTGTAAGAGTAGCTTTTATCTTTGGTAATCTTAACAGAGTGTCACAAAATTTTCCAGATGCAATGAAGGTTATTGTTAGCCACTCGCAATACTTTCATGTCACGAAACGTATTTGTAGACTGATGTGATGTAGCTTGAATATTGTTGACTGTAGTGTCTATAACAGACAAAAGCATAATTAGATAATGAAGAAAAGATTGATGTGATAAGTTTTTCCAATCTCCAATTCATTGTATAAGAATGAATTCGAGACTGTATAACTTGATTTCTGTTTATGATTTCCTCTGGTTCTTGCAGCCTTCCTGGATGACGTTGGTTTTACATTTGTGAAGAGATGTCTGGCATCGGTTGAAAAGAGGGGTAAGATAGTCTTTCTGTCCATGTTTAGTGGTGTGTTATGGACATGGGATGTATCTACAGTAGATTAGATAGTGTAAACAAGTATTCAATAGATGCTTGTTTTAAGAGTGACATTAAAGTATAGAGAATAATCATTAAAGGGATAGAATACATTGACAAACACAGTGTAGTACATGCCAGACTTTACATCATCTTCATGTTATTAGGTCTTTGGACCCGTGAAGATTCCGGGGTAGAAGAGATCTTCAGCAACCCATGCTTGCCGTAAAAAGCGTCTATGCTTGTCGTAATAGGTGACTAACGGGATCGGGTGGTCAGGCTCGCTGACTTGGATGCATGTCATCGATCCCAATTACGTGGATCGATGCTCATGATGTCAATCACTGGATTGTCTGGTCCAGACTTGATTATTTACAGACCGCCGTCATATAGCTGGAATATTGCTGAGTGCGGCGTTTAACAACAAAAACAAACAAACAAATATTAGGTCTTTGACACCACAAACTCCTTCTGCAGAGTTGTGTCCCTTTGCTGTGTCAGGATATGAGGATCTGGTTTTGGATCCCAGATCCACCATTATGATGTTACAATACCAGCACACCCTCTTGACCGATATGCTGACCTGTACTGACCTGCTGACGTAATGCTTTCTCCCCCTACATCAGGTCTTCAGGAGCAAGGGCTGTACAGAGTGGTGGGCGTCAACTCTAAAGTCAATAGGCTAATACAGATGGGTTTAGGTAAGTCTACCAACATTTCCTACCCTTCCACTCCCCCATACATCAGAATGACAGGGGAAACAAACAATTCTGAGCAATAGGTGTCCACTGGTCGCATCCCCTGTGGGGATTTCGGGTTACAATAGACCCCTAGCAACCAATTCTTGTCGTAAGAGGCAACCAAATGGATCGGGTGGTCAAACTGGTGACCTGGTCATATATGTGTGAATGTGTCGTCATACCCCCGACAGCATGGATTGTTGCTCAGAATAATGATCATTGAATTATCTGGTCCAAACTTGATCAATATTACAGGTCACCATCGTTTAGCTGGAATTTTGATGTGTGCTGCATTTAAGAACAAGCAAACAAACATCATGGTCATGTAAAGAGTTATTGACCAATAGGCTTTGCAGTCACCTACTTGGTTTGGAGTAGACAATAATTTGCCAATTTCTACATATATTTGATAATGTTAAAGGTAGCTTAGGCAAGGTCAAATTGGCAGTCTGAGCAAGTTTGGTTTAAGTCTTTCAAACACCACTTTGGTTGTCTACTAACTCAGATTTTATGATATATATTCATCGCATTGTTCAATGCCCTAATTACACAGCACTAGTTACAACAATGAAATTGAGCATTGTCTCCATTTAAGATGTCAGGATCTTGTGTCATTCATGTTGTTTCTTGTGTGCCACAGACAGGAGGAAAACAGACAAGATACAGCTGGACGAACCTACTGCTTGGGAAACCAAGACAATCACTAGTGCTGTGAAAAATTACCTCAGGTCAGTCTCCATTGACCATAATTAGTCTATATTCACCATTATTGTCATTTATTCTATATGGCGTCAATCCACCTCTGTGGTCTAGTACTAGGACTAGTACAAACAACCACACTCACACATACACATGCATGCATGTCTCTATATAAGTGCAATAACCTTGGACGTGACGTTAAACCCCATTTCACCTCACCTCCGTTGTCTAGTGGATAGAGTGCCTGCCCAGAGAGCAGTAGGTCGGTGGGTAATCCCCTCGCCCCATCAAACCAAAAGATGATGCTACTTGATTTTATCGTCTGGCCAACAGCATCAAGGCATGAAACAAGGACTGCCCGGCTCGGAGTCAGTATAATGTGCCTGCAGGTTATCCATGTTAAACAGTAGGTACTCGTAGCACTATAAAACCAGACCCCTGAAGATCCGGAGTAGAATAGGTCTTCAGCAACCCATGCTTGTCGTAAAAGGTGACCATGCTTGTAGTAAGAGGTGACTAACAGGATCGGTCGGTCAGGCTCGCTGACTTGGTTAATGCATATCGTCATAATGCATGGCATCATTTTCAATGCTCATGATATCAATCACTGGATTGTCTGTTCCAGACTCGAATATTTACAGGCTGCTGTCATATAGCCGGAATATTGTTGAGTGAGGTGTTAAACAACAAACAAACCAACCAACTATAAAACCAGTCAGAATTAGTACAATCAGCTACTAACTCACATGCATGCATCTTCTCTATATATAGTCTGGAAGGTAATTTAAGGTACCGACGTTTACTACAATTTCTGAAAGACTATTGGACCTACTCCAGTCAAAGTTGTTATGAGATTATAAAACAGTCATACATAACTGGATATTACATTTAAAGACAATCGGTGCATGAATGAAAAATCTGTCTATTTAGCTCACCTCACCTCACCTCACCTCACCTCACCTCACCTCACCTCACCTCACCACTAACCCATCAACAAAAATGACTTTTACAGTTTAATCCATAGCTCTTTAAAAGAATGTGTTTTACTCTACCCTTAGGACTATATCATTGCCTGATCTCTGTAAATGGACAGTACTAGCATCTTGAAATTCCTGCACACTGTTTTTGTTGTATTTGTAGGTCTCTCCCCGAACCACTGATGTCTTTCAAACTTCATGAAGAGTTTATCAAAGCAGCAAGTAAGTTCCAACGTGTGATGTGCTGCTTTATAGGAACCAAGTACATTTTAATGCCATTGTGGGTGATATAATATGCAGGGGTGCCAACCGTTACGATTTTTGCGTAATAGTTTTGGTTTTGAGCCTAAAAGTATGCTATTACGCTTGTCCTCCCCTAAATTACAATTTTTGTCATTTTTCTTTACAAATTATTTACCAGCATAATTATCTCTGAGAGCAAATTGTTAATGCACCGGTGACACGAAGCACTCTGTATTAAGACTATGCTGACCAATGAGAGCCGTGCTTTCAATTCACATAGTGTTAAAATATCCTTTACTCAGTGATACAAGGTCTCTGACGGGTTCTTATGTTAAAACACACTCAGTTCATTTTATTGATGGATCTTTGAGGGTTCAAATTAAATAAGGAATGACAAGTACTGTTAAGCATTACTCTTTTTCACATGAAAATAATCTTTTTGACCCCTGATTACTCCAAGGCTTCCATTAGGGTTGGCATCTCTGTGTGTAGATAATTAATGCATGTTAACAATGAAATCTAGATTAGTGTTCAGGTCTTGAGAAGTTCAAATGTTTTTATCTAAGGCCTTTGCCATGTCACTTGAAATTGTTTCCAATATGTTTCAGTGTTAAAATGTGGACTTTTATTAGATGTATTGCTGGACGAAAGTCATTTTACTTGGCCCTGGATTGAGATTATAGACTATGGTTGGAAATAAGCTATTCTCATAATATTGGTCATTTATGACAGACAACACATGGACTTTTATGTGCTTGAATGTTTCCTATCCTTGCACGGCAGTAGGGTAGTTGATATCTTGCCAAATTGTGTCCTGTAAGCCTTGTGGCATCTTCCCGAGGCAACAGTGTTAACTGACTTTGAAAGTCCAGTTTTCATCCTTGCTGAACTAGGCTGGAATTTTGTTTCTCGATCGTAGCAAATCCTGCAGTCGAAACAAAATCTATATGTTGAAATCCATGTTGTTTATGAACTGGATGTCTAGTTCATTACAGGATTTTGATTGGGCTATGCATAGACCCTTTAGGCAGCCAAAATATAACTCTGGAATTGCAGCCTAGTTCAGCAAGGGGGGAAACAGGACTTTTACAGTCAATGGTCAAGATTAGACTATAGGCCTTAATGCCGTGTGTACTGTTACTAACTACAGCATTAATATGTACACACAAAATGACTGACCTTCCTTCTGTTTGTCCATCTGTATTTCGTTTCTGGAGCATAACTTGACAGCAAAAAAAGACTTTTCATCCAAACTTGCCAGCTGTGTTTTGCTATTGTGTGTGTGTGTGTGTGTGGGGGGGGATTTGCCATCTTGTGATAACTCTTGTTTGAAAAGATAAACAATTGTTGACCAGGGCTGCAATTAACTGTCATGTTCTGATTGACTTTTTGACTATCATATTTGGAAACTGTGTCATATAATATCTAACGGTCCCGTGAAAATCCAGGTTAGAATGGGTCTTCAGCAACCCATGCTTGCCATAAAGGCAACTACGATTCGACTTATGAGATTGGGTGGTCAGGCTTGCTGATTTGGTTGATGCATGTCATCGTATCCCAATTGCGTGGATCAATGCTCATCATGTCAATCACTGAATTGTCTGGCCCAGACTCGATTATTTACAGACTGCTGTCATACAGCTGGAATGTTGCTGAGTGTGTCATTAAATAACAACCAAACAAAACAGGTTATAAACTCCAATGGCTGTGAGATGTTGCTTAGTCTGTCATTCACCTGTTAGCCTGGTCCTGTACTGAGTATTAACAGGCCACTGTGACATAGCTGGAATACTGTTTTCTGTGATATAAAACAATATTGAAACAAACAAAAGAAACATATTAGTGTTGGTCTGTCCAAGATGAAGCTGATGGAGTACTGACTACTCATGTCCACCCATGGCTGATGTGTTTCAGAGCAGGAGTCAAAGACGTTGAGAATTCTGGATATTCACAAGCTGGTGCATCAGCTGCCGGAGTCCAACTTTGAGATGTTGGACCTACTCCTTACACATCTACAGAGGTGAGCTCTAGTAGTTGCCTTATGACCTAAAGCTATGGGTGATTCTGGAGTAGAATAGGTCCCCAGCAGCCTATGCTGGTCGTAGGAGGCAACCAACTGAATCGGGTGGTCAGGTTCGGTCACTTTGTTGGTTGCATGTCATTGTTCCATGACAAAGGTTGTCATTAGTAACAATATCGATCTTTGGATTGTCTGGTCCAGAGTCAATTATTAACAGATCTCTGTCTTATAGCTGGAATATTGCTGAGAGGGGTGTTAAACAACAAACAATTTTGAAACCTTAGAAAGATGCCATGACATGACCAATTCCATATTTAAATGAAAATAGTAACATATTTTGACAACTAATCGAAATAACTTTATCTTATTTTCGAGATTCGGGTTTTCTCTTTTGTCAATTTATCAATATCTTTGTATCAAGGGTTATTTTCTCTCCTATGGTTGTTAACTCTAACTTGAGCTGCTAACATATTAACAGCAGTGACAAGATCCACCTATTTCTGTTGATTTGAAATCTAACTGAATTTATAATCTCTATGAATCATTTTATGTCTTACCTTGATGCAAGATCTCCAGCTGTTGAGCAGAAATGTTGTTCAGCCATTGCCTCATGCGGACAAAAGAATTTAATTTTAATTCTAATTTTAGAACTAAAGAGACCTGTAGAATGAAGTCATGAAATCAGCAGAATATGTATTCACAAGTCTTCTTCTTAACAGAGTTTCCAATGAACATGAACGGAATAAAATGACTGTGGCCAATTTGGGAGTTTGTTTTGGGCCAACGCTCATGCGACCAGAAGAGGAGACGATGGCAGCCATCATGGACATCAAGTTCTGCAACATCATTGTGGAAATACTCATCAATAACTATGACAAGGTAGGATGATATACACTGTCAGTGCAGACATGGTACAGGCCTTGAGTGTTGACCTCAGATAAAGTCCGAGTATGTCACCAAGTCTGACCACCCTGCCCCTGAAGACACCATAGGTACAAGCATAGGTTGCCCCTTAGAATTGGTCCCCAGCAGCCCATGTTTGTTATGAGAGGCTACTTACTGGATGGGATCAGGCTCAGCAACTTGGCTGATAAGTGGATAGTGCCTCCTACATATCAGTCCCTGTTTTTTCTGGTCCATGCTCGATTATCCACAAACTGGTTAATTTTGCTGAATGCAACATTAATCAACAAAACAAAAACAAATAGTACAACATAGTACAAGTAATGGTTATGCACTATGACGTGCAGAACTTGCCTTAGAGGCATACACATACAAAGAGGTTCTTTCGTTATGCACCCAACCTTAAAGGCTTGGGTATATAGATATACCAAGGAGTTACGTCTGTCTGTCCTTCCGAGGACATTTTTGTGTGTGGTCTATAACTTGAAAACTACTGAATAGGTTCTTTTAAAGCTTAGAACACTTTCTATATCAATAGGAGAGGTGTGCTAAAGCAATTAGGTTTGTTTGCTGGTCTTTTTTGAGGTTTCATTGTATTCCTCAAATTGACGCGAATTGTAAAATTGTTTCTTTGCAAACAATACAGGAAAGATACTTTTCCCTGTTATCTTCATTTGTCGTTGGTGTGTTCACAGATATTTCACAATGCACCTGAGGACTGTGTTGATCTGTGCAATGTGAGAGTTCTCCCCAAACATAATCAGGCAATGAGCAATCACAGTGGCAACAAAAGTCCACGATCCCCCGCTGCCGTCATGTCCGCCTCCTCAAACCCAGTATTAACCCAAGATAGTGGCGGCACCGGCGGCGGCATCGGTGGAGTTGGTGGCGGCAGCACAGGAGGAACACCGTCACATATCTATGCAAACCAGGCTCCGGTGCATCCTTCAAGAACTTCAAGATTTATACGTCCTACACAGGTATTCAACCATCAAACTGGAGGTAAGTTGGCTTCCTTTTGAGCAAATAGATTAACTTGGCTCTCTTCATATATTATAATTACTTAAAGGAGTGCAATGAACTTCTAGAAAGAAAAGAAAATACTTACCCATTTGTGGCAAGGAGGTGCAGGATTAGCTTCGTGTTTATGACCTGTACATTTCCTATAGAAAAAGGTCTTCACATCTAAGTTTGTTGTAATTCTAGACTAAGTCCATTCATTGATGGTCCCCGATCCTCACACCACCTTTGTGTGTGCACAAATAGCCTTAGAGTAAGCTTTACAATGAGTCACACTCTGCAATGAATTCCTCATCACAGGAACTGGTTCCTGGCTGTATTTGCATTGCATCCCCTTTATGATGTGTAAAGACACCCTGGGTTTTATTTCAATAAAGCTGTTGTAGATAACACCCATGTTAAGATTTCCCTTTTGTTTTCTGTCAAAATAATTCTCATTTTTTGATGACACAAATCTTCATTAATCTTGCATATTTTATATCGTTTCTGGTAAACTGTCATTGAAACGCTCACATACTGACTGTGTCAAGTTTATTTGTTAATTTTAGCACTAAATAATTTTCATCCGTGCATGTAGTATGCAATATTGGCTCCAATTGTTGTAGGTAATTTTGGACGTTTTGTTGGGTACTTTTTTGGGGGAAATTTGTTGTAGATGTGTGTTGTAGTAAGGATGTTGTTATAATGGGTGTTGTATGGGAAATGTTGTATGAGTACTGTGAGGGTAGTGTTGTGTTGTTGTGGGAGTGTTTGTTGTGAAAACTTTTGTTTTCACACACCCAATTGTTCTATCCAACTCTTATATTATCATGATGGATATATATATTCATTTATATCACACCCGGTCTGCTGTCACAATACAGTTTTGTGTTGAGGCTTCATAATGTAAAACTAAATGCTGTAAGTTACAAAATTCTGCATTTGACTCTGTTGTTTACAGACATGCTTGACAAGTGGTCAAATGAAACTGGTAATATCTCCATTTTGGTTGTCAATAGTAGAGTTTCAGATCTTGCTTAAAATACAGATATTTTGGCAATCATGGTGATGATTAAATTTGGAGTTGGCAATGCACTTTCTTAATAAGTAGCTCATATTATCACTGCTGCTTTTGGCCCCTCTCTTTTCACATGCGTTCAGCATTGCTATAATTCTTGAATTTGATACAATATGCAATAATCTTAGAAAATAATACTTTAATACTAACCTTTTTTTTTCAACAATGACTCATTCATTGCTTTCATAACAATTACTTTGCAGAGTAATTATCACTGAATATCGTTCGTAATCTTCATAATCACTAGATGCTTTGAACTGTTTTTGTTGCAGTCCCCGACTATAATTCATACAATTATTACACACGCTATCTGAACAATCGCTACTACTACAGGGACTGTAGCCCGGGTAAGATGGAACTACTAACACGGCCCCTCCCACTACAGGGCGGACACATTGGGTTGACCTGTAGCAATAACATGCACCCCTGTACTTACACTCCATTAGTATGGAATGATAGAAGGCACTTTGTTGGAAAAATACAACTGTATTAACCATGTTTGTAAGTCTTCATTTTCTTTGTTGCGTACTGTTATTGGAGACAAGAAAAAAAATTAATTCTTTAAGCAGGCATTCGCGGCCCAGGTGCACGGTGGTACCTTGTTTGTCAGGACCGTCTTTGTCAGGAAGTACTTCCTTTTTGGAATCTTTTTGGAATGCAACATAAAACTAAAAAGACTTTATGGTAAAACATTCATCTTTAATTCTGAATTTTGATTATCTGGACAAATCATCGGAAAAGGATTGATATGATTTTTTTGTATTAGGTGACATTATGTAATTTGAAGAATTGTGTCCCTTTGTCATGCCAGGATCTACTAGTAAATGTCTATGACCTGTATCACTTTAGTTTTCCCTCATACGGTAGCAAACACTCCATCACTAACATTGATACAACTTAATTTCGTTTACCCGACATACTCGTTAATCCGACATAATCATATGCAACCAACCATGTGGGATTAATGTGACTTCACTGTATCTGTATAGTTACATTGTAGATGTTAGTAACAATACATACTGTCTTCCTTGGCATCAGAATGTCTAAGTCAAAGGAAATGTGTAAAATTGTGTAAGTTGAAGAAGTCTTAAAATTAAGTAATAACTTAACATGCAACAAGTATCATGCGTTTAATGTAGAAAAACACTTTCATCTAAGTCACTTGACAGCATTTGTAACAGGTGACTCTGCTCATTTCTTGTCCTAATCATCAGTTTGTGTACCTTTGTAGAAAGCATGGTGTAGAAACAGTGGTAGATCTCTACATTGGGGAATGACCTATGTGCTTACCTTCACCTGCATATCAGTGTGTGTACCTGTGTAACGAGCATTGTGTAGATGTTAGGTAGATCTCTACATCTGGGAATGATCACCTTGTGCTTACTATCAACTGATCCTCTGTGTGTGTACATGTTCCTTTGTAATAAGCATGGTGTAGTTGCATTGTTAGATCTCTACATCTGGGAATGACCTGTGTGCTTTCCAACATCATCATGCCACTTGCGTTGTTACCTGTTCATCTCCTCACCATGTACCTACCATACAGAGATTCTGTTCAGAGCCCCAGAAACAGAAGAGGCTGGAAAACGGGGACTTTTCATCACGACCCACCTCCATGGATGGTGCTCACTCCCTGGATAGCTGAGCTCTGTGACCTTGTCTGTCATCACGACCCACCTCCATGGATGGTGCTCACACCCTGGATAGCTGAGCTCTGTGACCTTGTCTGTCATCACGACCCACCTCCATGGATGGTGCTCACTCCCTGGATAGCTGAGCTCTGTGACCTTGTCTGTCATCACGACCCACCTCCATGGATGGTGCTCACACCCTGGATAGCTGAGCTCTGTGACCTTGTCTGTCATCACGACCCACCTCCATGGATGGTGCTCACTCCCTGGATAGCTGAGCTCTTTGACCTTGTCTGTCATCACGACCCACCTCCATGGATGGTGCTCACTCCCTGGATAGCTGAGCTCTGTGACCTTGTCTGTCATCACGACCCACCTCCATGGATGGTGCTCACTCCCTGGATAGCTGAGCTCTGTGACCTTGTCTGTCATCACGACCCACCTCCATGGATGGTGCTCACACCCTGGATAGCTGAGCTCTGTGACCTTGTCTGTCATCACGACCCACCTCCATGGATGGTGCTCACACCCTGGATAGCTGAGCTCTTTGACCTTGTCTGTCATCACGACCCACCTCCATGGATGGTGCTCACTCCCTGGATAGCTGAGCTCTGTGACCTTGTCTGTCATCACGACCCACCTCCATGGATGGTGCTCACACCCTTGATAGCTGAGCTCTGTGACCTTGTCTGCTTCACGACCCACCTCCATGAATGGTGCTCACACCCTGGATAGCTGAGCTCTGTGACCTTGTCTGTCATCACGACCCACCTCCATGGATGTTGCTCACACCCTTGATAGCTGAGCTCTGTGACCTTGTCTGTCATCACGACCCACCTCCATGGATGGTGCTCACACCCTGGATAGCTGAGCTCTTTGACCTTGTCTGTCATCACGACCCACCTCCATGGATGGTGCTCACTCCCTGGATAGCTGAGCTCTGTGACCTTGTCTGTCATCACGACCCACCTCCATGGATGGTGCTCACACCCTTGATAGCTGAGCTCTGTGACCTTGTCTGTCATCACGACCCACCTCCATGGATGGTGCTCACACCCTGGATAGCTGAGCTCTTTGACCTTGTCATCACGACCCACCTCCATGGATGGTGCTCACACCTTTGATAGCTGAGCTCTGTGACCTTGTCTGTCATCACGACCCACCTCCATGGATGGTGCTCACACCCTGGATAGCTGAGCTCTTTGACCTTGTCTGTCATCACGACCCACCTCCATGGATGGTGCTCACTCCCTGGATAGCTGAGCTCTGTGACCTTGTCTGTCATCACGACCCACCTCCATGGATGGTGCTCACTCCCTGGATAGCTGAGCTCTGTGACCTTGTCTGCTTCACGACCCACCTCCATGAATGGTGCTCACACCCTGGATAGCTGAGCTCTGTGACCTTGTCTGCTTCACGACCAACCTCCATGGATAGGTGCTCACACTATCACCTCAGACTTTGTTATACAACTCTATTCACCCACAGAGCTTTTAAAGAATGCAGACCTGTGACTCTGTCTGTGTTTTTGTACATCCTACCCATAACCTTTAGTGCATGGATGTTTTCCTCATACCATTTAGTCAGCTTGAGAGCTGTTCCCCACTGTAGTCACTAAAACAGATAGGCAGTAAGAGCGGAAGCATGTTTTGTGTTAGGATGGTGTTATTCTCTCATGACCAGGGGTCATGGATGGCAGTGTTCGCTGCAACCCGTTGTGTCCCTTATCTATACCAGGATCCACTGGTCCTGGGTTTGAATCCCAAATTTGTCCTGGTTATAATAATTGGTCTGTTGGCACCCTTCCCCTCTGTTCATGGAAGCGGTAAATGTCTCTATTCCACATCACTCCCCCCTCTCCTCCCACATGACATGATTAAGCTAATGTGCCATGATATAACTGAAATGCTTTTCAAATTTCCATTCCACTCACTTATCACAAGGATATTTTCATCTTGACAGGGATTTTTTTAACATTGATATGTCGAACCATTTTTTAACTGTACTCACAGCCATCCCTGATGAAAAATGAGGATTGGTTGGTTAATATGACTGCTGAGAGTTGATTGTACTTTGGTGCCTAGGAAACCACCCCTAAAACCATCTACTACCTTTCCCATTTTAAATGCAGTAATAACACAGATGAAATACACTGTTTGGTGGTCATTCAATATTTCATTATTTTTATATTGACCTTTCATGAATTCATTTCATTACAAATTAACATTTTAATTTCCTTTTTCTCCTTCATTTTACCATTTGAATTCCACGCCACTAACACCTCATATGAGACATGTTGTTTTCATTTACTTGAACAATTTCAATCTTTAGTTTTGTTTAACAGAATGTTGTAAGGATTGTTGCATTCCAGTCATGTTTGCAGCTGGGGTAGTCTAGTTGTGATACCATCACGAGACTTGTTCTTGCAGGATTCCTGTAGGTGTAAAGGTACCCCATTCTTGTTATCGAAGCCGGCCATTGTGACAGTACTATGTATGACCTCAGTGTGTCCTTGTGCTAGTTAACACTGGTTAGCCTGAAATGTGCTGGCCACAGTAATGTGATACGGCTGTAACATTGCTGGATTATTGCTGACCACTGGCATAAAACAACATTCTCTCACTCACCAATAAGACAATTTCCTCTTATTTAATTCCATAATGCATTAAGGAAGGAACCATACGACTCAAAAGTAGTTAAGGACAATGACAGATTACAATTGTCATATGAAAGAATCAGATGGTCCTATACTTCTTTTGAGTAGTATATGTCCAATAGACCAAAATGTAGTCTGGTAGAACATCATCTCAGTATTAGCCATCAGTTTGCTCCCTATCACCAGGCCACATCACATCAAAAGACATTAAACAATGGTACTCGTTCGACATTAAGGACTGGGCAGTTAGGAGTCGGTATGATGTATAATAGTTGGGTGTTCATGTTAAACTGTGACATGGTAGGGTAGTGAGCTAGCATTATGAAACCGGCATAAGTCTGGACTAGTACAAGCAGTCCCACAAATATGCATGCCCATCACTATATAAGTGAAATAATCTTGAACATGACTCCATTTCACCTCACCTCATCTTTGACAGGTCTGTGAAGAGCCAACAGCTTGCATCAGTTTGGATGGATACATCTGTATGTCACGTGTTCATGATTTGTCTTTCAGGGTTTGAGACGCACAGTAGCACATCAAGCAGTTCGGACTCTCTTAACTCCTCGCGAGTGATGTCACAACAGCTCCCCCAGAATCGAGCCGGTCCACAAAACCCCTCCCAATCCCCCCGCCTGGACCATGTGGAACATCCACGACGGGGATCAAACAGCACTTATGCTAATGTCAGCGTACATGAACTTGGTAAGTGCTGAAGCGTTGTTCACCTGGTTGATTGTGAATGTGTGGTACAAATCTGTTCTCTGTGTTTTGTATGTTTACCCTGTTAATCCGGACAGTCATATTCCACGCTATGGCTCTTAGCATCATTATTGATAGATTTAATGTTTTGTGTTATCATATGGATTAATATTTCTGAGCTTGGGCTTCTTATGTCTAGTGGGGGGTACAGGTGGCCCAGTCGTCTGAGGCGCCGCGATTTGCGGTGCAGAGTTGCGTCCCTTGGGCACACCATAAACCTATGATTGTTGGTTCGAATCCCGGTTCGCCCCGATTATGTTTCTAGGTTTGTGACCATCATACCCTTGCTCGTGGGTTTCACTGAAGTGGTAAACGTCTGAGACCTCCATAGCTTCGGGCTTTTCTCCCACATTAAGCTGACTAGCCGCGATATAACTGGAATACTGTTAAAAGCGGCGTTAAACCCAACTCACTCACTCACTCTTATGTCTAGTGGCTAAAGTCACGGACTGGGATGAACAAATTCCCAATCAACCATTCTATTGATCAATAAATTATTGGTATGGATTTATGTCTGTTGGAAAATAAACTTCAGTTGACATATGTGATTGTCTGGAAGCCAAGTTTATGGACTAATGAGGTCTGGAGTAACAGGGTTTTACTGTAACTGTAACTAACTTTGCTTGAAAATTTAATTGATTGTGAATCTTTTTGGGTTATATACAATTTCAAATTTGCCATTCCAGTATGTTAGTTTTTGTTCAAAAACAAGTTTTTCAACATACTGGTATGTTACCTTTATGAAGTAAATAGATTCCTAATGGTTATGTCTTAACAACTGACAAACGTTGGGGACAAGGCTATATTATCATTGAAGGAGACTAATAGGATTGTGCACTCTGTAAATTATGTATTTTGATGTTAGATACCCGAGAGGAACCAGACATACTAGAACTGCAATGTTCCCCTAAATCTCCTCGAGGTGAGACACTTTTGTCCAACCTGCCAGTGGCCAGTCTTGACCAGTCTTGACCAGTCTTGGAGCAGGCCACCACATAATAGCCGCACTAATCCAAGCTCGTCTTCTGAGATGCTCAATTTGAAATTTTGTCTGCCTGGGGTTTCTTTGTCATGAAATTATTTGAATGTCTTGGCATTGGGTGAAGTGGTTTTATTTAACCCAGTTTGTTTTGGCTTTTGAGAATGTCTTCATCCCATTTGATCCTGCATGTGGCATCCCTGGTGGTGATATTCATTTGAACAAATCCTCTCACCCCTATATATATCTGCTTGTGTCGGTCTTGGTTTGAGATGGTGGGTCAGACATGGAGAGGATGGTGACATCTCCCTGAACCCCGACCATGAGTCTGGAACAGAATAGGTGGGATTAGATCCCCAGTACCCAGTCTTTGTGATAGGCTTGGTGTAGAAGCTAAGGACCAGTCTCCATGCCAGATTAACTACAGTAATATGAAAGAATCGGGTGGTCCTTAACTTCTTTTGTGTAGCATAGATAGGGATATACAACCATTGCCCCTTATTTTCCTTGAATCATTGTTGAACTGATGAGTGATCTGCATTTTGCTTTTCACCACAGTCTGTAATATTCCTGCTATATCATAATAATTTTTCCTGACAAACCAATGGTTGATGACATGAGCACCAACTAGCATTGTCTTGGTACAGTGACAAGTGACAAGCATGTGACACATTGTAACAAGAGCTAACCACCAAATCTTCTGGAGCGCAAAAAACTATTCACTTGCATATTTGGTCAGCTTGTTCTTACAAGCATGGGTTACTGGGGACCTAGTCCATAGGGCCTTGAACTGATGATGTAGAATGTGAGCAATAAAACTTTCAAAGTTTTGTGATGACTTCTTATGGATGATATGTACAGTATGCCATGGCATTGTGTCGGTCTCTCTATAATCATTCTGCAGAGTTGTGTCCCTTAGCCATGCCAGGATCTGATGATTGGGATTAGAATCTCAGATTCACCCTTGTTGTCATTTTTGATTTGTCATGGGTTTGACCAAAGTGGTAGGCTTCTTTGACCTGCATCACTTAGGGTTTTCTGTGCACAGCTGACTCGTAGTCAAATAACTTATAGTGGTGTAATGATATGGCAATACAGTATGTTGTCCCAATACAAGGCCCACGATACAAGACATCAATCTGGAAGCCCTGTATTGCGATACATTGATACATTCACAATGCCCTCTTGCCCATATGTTTCTATGTTCCATCTTCAGTATCTGAAATTTAAGAACAAATGATTCTAGATTGTGATTCCCCTTCAAAAAGAAAGAATATCAACTTGTAATGTATACATATGTAATGTATATGGACACGAATCGTATCACACCCATAGTGTTGGGTTACGTATCCTTTCGCAACCCCACCATATCGTTACACCTCTAATAACTGGACAACAGTTCAGTGTAGCTTTAATCCTAACTATGTATTTGACACGATTTACATAAAAAATACTCATTGTCAATAAGCCATGTCTGATACAATACATATGTATCCGTGAGAACTGCTTCCTTTATACACTTCCAGGGGACTGTAACTGTTTAGTTGTTCCTTATAACATGTTTCAATCAACCAAATGCTGTGGATGTTGTGTTTTGTTATCAGTATCTTGTGAATTAAAGGAAGCACTCATGGATGGCTCTACTCACTAAATAGTGCTTGTGACATTTGCAGTGAGTCATGATGACTCCCACTTTTCATAGGTTAGATAAAACCCTGGGAATATACACGACGCCCTATCATGTCCACAATAATTTCGACAGAATTATTTTCATGAAAGTAACATCTCGTCTCAATTAAGAGGTGATAATAATTGAATGTTTGTTTTTTCAGCCAACAGATTCAGCATCGCAGGGTCAGACATTCCCACATTGTAAGTCCGGAAGTGATCTTAGTCACAAATGATGCTTGTTATATATTGTACTGTTACTAGGACTGCAACTCGTGAAGATCTGGGGAAGAATAGGTCTTCAGCAACTCATGCTTGCCGTAAAAGGCGACTATGCTTGACTTAAAAGGCGACTATGCTTATCATAAGAGGCGACTAACGGGATCAGGTGGTCAGGCTTGCTGACTTTGTTGATGCATGTCATCGATCCTAATTGTATGGATTGATGCTCATATTGTCAAACACTGGATTGTCTGATCCAGACTCGATTACTGTCAGACCGCAATCATATAGCTGGAATATTGCTGAGTGCGGCGTTAAACAACAAACCAACCAAATTATTACGACTTCACTTTTGATAGGGGTATTATTATCTTTCCATGATACACAGAACCAATTTTCATAATGTGTTGTGTATTTTTAATAGCATGACAGTAATGCATACATAACACATGAGTTGGTAGCACTACGATGTTGTCGTAATCCCTTGTGATGCAAGTTAAGTATTTGATAGAGCACTCGTGACAGTTTATCAGGACATAAAGGTACTGTTGTAAGAACAAATTGTTTATGCAACTGTTACCTTCTTATTTCGGCACCGTCTCCGTGGTGTAGAGGATAGAGTATCTGCCCAGAGGGAGGAAGGCTGGTTGTTCGATGCCCTGGACATTTCACACCAAAAGACGTTAAAACGTTGTACTTGGTGTTACCCTTCCAGGCATTTGGCATTAAGGCAATACAACTAGGACTGGAGCAGCCACAACTGTCTCGATAATCTTGAACGTGACATTAAGCCACATTTCACCTTGCCTCACCTTTTTACCTTTAAGTAGGAGTACATTTCCTTAATATGTACAACTTCATACAAGTCAAGGAACACCCCCAATTGGAAGGCTGTGTGTTGCAAAACCCACAAGCCATAATAGATTAACTCTAGTCATATAAAAAAGTATATATATGGAGTAGTATATTTCCACTACATATGACCCAGATGGCAAACATCTATTGGTCCAGGGCCTTTAATCTTTGATCGAAATATTTTATGTACGCCTATCATGACCACCGTTAACAAGTAATACTACACTGTGTCCTTACTCCTAAGGCTTAAGAAAATTAAAGAATTGGTTCTCAGGCAGTGGCTTTTGAAAATATAGCATGCGCGGGCGGGCGGTGTGTCTTTTTTTTCTCTTTAGTTTCTTACTTGTACAAACTAGTATGTAACCAAATATACAGTTTTTTACAATCATCCTGGGAAAGGTACTCCCTACGTAAATGTATTTTTTGATGAGTAAATTTCTGAATTACAGCTGGACTAGGAATATTAAAGGATTTTGTTTTTTAAAATTAAAAGTGGAAATAAAAACGAAAAACATAATAATGATGCGGGCGGTGCCTGACAACCATGACTATTATTTTTTTTAGCCTAATGTTTCTTGTCATATATCCTGACAACCATGAACAAACAATGCTACAATTTGGTCTTAATCCCTCATGTTGTATGTTTAAGAAATTATATTTATGTCAAGGCATCATTTTTTGTGCATGAGATGATGGTTTGATCACAAGGTGGCTGACCCAGATCAAGTTAATAACTTAATTGTTAATATAACTGCCTTTTCAGTGGAAGTGTCAAGAAAAGACGTTCTAATGACTTCAGCACATCAATGTAAGTTACTTTTGTTGATGCATTTGATTACAAATTAGTTGGAATGTTAGAAGTATGATTATCAGAAGCTTCAGTCAAATAGCTTGTGGTGGGGTAGCCTAGTGGTTACAGCTTTGCCTTGTCACACCGAAGACTTGGGTTCTATTCCCCTTATTGGTACAATATGTGAAGCCCATTTTTGGTGTCCCTGCTTATGATATGGCTGAATTATTAATAGCAGATTTAAATCAAACCCACTCAATCACATCTAGCATCTTTACTTATGATATCTTTGTATTCACATTTTAGATCCTGCATGTGGCTTTATTTGTAGAGAAAAACTTTTTGTTATAGTAAAGCTCATATTTTTCAGGAACTCTTCTATGCCCGCAAGCATGACTGGCAGCCTGAGTAGTAACTCTAGTAGCTCGTCCCGTGCCCCAGGAAGGTAGGTGACATGACTGTGTAGTAACTCTAGTAACTCACCCCGTGCTCCAGGAAGGCAGGTGACATGACTGTGTAGTAACTCTAGTAACTCACACCGTGCCCCAGGAAGGCAGGTGACATGACTGTGTAGTAACTCTAGTAGCTCGTCCCGTGCCCCAGGAAGGTAGGTGACATGACTGTGTAGTAACTCGAGTAGCTCGTCCCGTGCCCCAGGAAGGCAGGTGACATGACTGTGTAGTAACTCTAGTAGCTCACCCTGTGCCCCAGGAAGGTGGGTGACCCGACTGTGTAGTAGCTCACCCTGTGCCCCAGGAAGGTGGGTGACCCGACTGTGTAGTAGCTCACCCTGTGCCCCAGGAAGGCAGGTGACCCAACTGTGTAGTAACTCACCCTGTGCCCCAGGAAGGCAGGTGACATGACTGTGTAGTTATTCTAGTAGCTCACCGCGTGCCCGAGGAAGGCAGGTGACATGACTGTGTAGTAACTCTAGTAGCTCACTCGGTGTCCCAGGAAGGCAGGTGACATGACTGTGTAGTAACTCTAGTAACTCACCCTGTGCCCCAGGAAGGTAGGTGTCATGACTGTGTAGTAACTCTTGTAACTCACCCTGTGCCCCAGGAAGGCAGGTGACCTGACTGTGTAGTAACTCTAGTAACTCACCCCGTGCCCCAGGAAGGCAGGTGACATGACTGTGTAGTAACTCCATAACTCACCCTGTGCCCCAGGAAAGCAGGTGACATGACTGTGTAGTAACTGTAGTAGCTAACCCCCTGCCCTAGGAAGGCAGGTGACATGACTGTGTAGTAACTCTAGTAACTCACCCTGTGCCCCAGGAAGGTAGGGGACATGACTGTGTAGTTATTCTAGTAACTCACCCTGTGCCCCCGGAAAGCAGGTGACATGACTGTGTAGTAACTCTAGTAGCTCACCCCATGCCCCAGGAAGGCAGGTGAAATGACTGTGTGGTAACTCTAGTAACTCACCCTGTGCCCCGGGAAGGCAGGTGACATGACTGTGTAGTAACTCTAGTAGCTCACCTCGTGCCCCAGGAAGGTGGGTGACATGACTGTGTGGTAACTCTAGTAACTCACCCTGTGCCCCAGGAAGGTGGGGGACATGACTGTGTAGTAACTCTAGTAGCTCACCCTGTGCCCCAGGAAGATGGGTGACCTGACTGTAGTAACTCTAGTAGCTCGTCCCGTGCCCCAGGAAGGTAGGTGACATGACTGTGTAGTAACTCTAGTAACTCACCCCGTGCTCCAGGAAGGCAGGTGACATGACTGTGTAGTAACTCTAGTAACTCACACCGTGCCCCAGGAAGGCAGGTGACATGACTGTGTAGTAACTCTAGTAGCTCATCCCGTGCCCCAGGAAGGCAGTTGACATGACTGTGTAGTTACCCTAGTAGCTCGTCCCGTGCCCCAGGAAGGTAGGTGACATGACTGTGTAGTAACTCGAGTAGCTCGTCCCGTGCCCCAGGAAGGCAGGTGACATGACTGTGTAGTAACTCTAGTAGCTCACCCTGTGCCCCAGGAAGGTGGGTGACCCGACTGTGTAGTAGCTCACCCTGTGCCCCAGGAAGGCAGGTGACCCAACTGTGTAGTAACTCACCCTGTGCCCCAGGAAGGCAGGTGACATGACTGTGTAGTTATTCTAGTAGCTCACCGCGTGCCCGAGGAAGGCAGGTGACATGACTGTGTAGTAACTCTAGTAGCTCACCTCGTGCCCCAGGAAGGTGGGTGACATGACTGTGTGGTAACTCTAGTAACTCACCCTGTGCCCCAGGAAGGTGGGGGACATGACTGTGTAGTAACTCTAGTAGCTCACCCTGTGCCCCAGGAAGATGGGTGACCTGACTGTAGTAACTCTAGTAACTCACCCTGTGCCCCAGGAAGGCAGGTGACATGCCTTTGTAGTAACTCTAGTAACTCACCCTGTGCCCCAGGAAGGCAGGTGACATGACTGTGTAGTAACTCACCCTGTGCCCCAGGAAGGTAGGTGACATGACTGAGTAGTAACTCTAGTAACTCACACCGTGCCCCAGGAAGGCAGGTGACATGACTGTGTAGTAACTCTAGTAACTCACCCTGTGCCCCAGGAAGGAAGGTGACCTGACTGTGTAGTAACTCTAGTAGCTCATGCCGTGCCCCAGGAAGGCAGGTGACATGACTGTGTAGTAACTCTAGTAGCTCACCCCGTGCCCCAGGAAGGCAGTTGACATGACTGTGTAGTAACTCTAGTAGCTCACCTCGTGCCCCAGGAGGGCAGTTGACATGACTGTGTAGTAACTCTAGTAACTCACCCCGTGCCCCAGGAAGGCAGGTGACATGACTGTGTAGTAACTCTAGTAACTCACCTCGTGCCCCAGGAAGGCAGGTGACATGACTGTGTAGTAACTCTAGTAACTCACCCCGTGCCCCAGGAAGGCAGTTGACATGACTGTGTAGTAACTCTAGTAGCTCACCTCGTGCCCAAGGAAGGCAGGTGACATGACTGTGTGGTAACTCTAGTAACTCACCCTGTGCCCCAGGAAGGTGGGAGACATGACTGTGTAGTAACTCTAGTAGCTCACCCTGTGCCCCAGGAAGGTGGGTGACCTGACTGTGTAGTAGCTCACCCTGTGCCCCAGGAAGGCAGGTGACATGACTGTGTAGTAACTCAAGTAACTCACCCTGTGCCCCAGGAAGGTGGGTCACATGACTGTGTAGTAGCTCACCCCGTGCCCCAGGAAGGTAGGTGACCTGACTGTGTAGTTATTCTAGTAGCTCACCGCGTGCCCCAGGAAGGCAGGTTACATGACTGTGTAATAACTCTAGCAGCTCACTCTGTGCCCCAGGAAGGCAGTTGACATGACTGTGTAGTTACTCTAGTAGCTCACCCCATGCCCCAGGAAGGTAGGTGACAAGACTGTAGTAACTCTAGTAGCTCACACCGTGCCCCAGGAAGGCAGGTGACATGACTGTGTAGTTACTCTAGTAGCTCACCCCGTGCCCCAGGAAGGTAGGTGACAAGACTGTAGTAACTCTAGTAGCTCACACCGTGCCCCAGGAAGGCAGGTGACATGACTGTGTAGTAACTCTAGTAGCTCACCCCATGCCCCAGGAAGGTAGGTGACATGACTGTGTTGTAACTCTAGTAGCTCACCCCGTGCCCCAGGAAGGTAGGTGACATGACTGAGTAGTAACTCTAGTAGCTCACTCTATGCCCCAGGAAGGTGGGTGACCTGACTGAGTTGTAACTCTAGTAACTCACCCTGTGCCCCAGGAAGGTAGGTGACCTGACTGTGTAGTAACTCTAGTAGCTCACCCTGTGCCCCAGGAAGGCAGGTGACATGACTGTGTAGTAGCTGTAGTAGCTAACCCCGTGCCCTAGGAAGGCAGGTGACATGACTGTGTAGTAACTCTAGTAACTCACCCTGTGCCCCAGGAAGGTAGGTAATATTTCAGAGATACTCATAGATTATTAATTCATAAAAACCTGAGAAGAGAAATGTGAAACATTTATCAACAATTGTATGTTTCAAACATACTTTCTATATACCTTTGGAATGGACATAAAATGCTGGCGTGTACGCATGTATTTTAAAAAGAAATTCTTAAAAGCATTCTGGTCTGTCAGCACATCTGTAGCCTAGCTTCTGTGGTGTGGTGCCTCACTCACTATGCTACAGATAGGAAGGTTACAAATTCAATCCACTGAAATATGAAGAAGTCATTAGTCAGTTGATTTTACATCAATCAGCACTTTTCCTTATGGAAATTGTGTTAAAATGCAAAATAAATCTCTAGCGAGGGACAGTCTATAAAATATCCCTGAGACAGAGGGATACTCTGGAGAGCGTCCCTGCTGAGAGATTATTGTGGAAAATGAAGGTCCAGTAAAACCAACACTAGAGGTTATGCGTGTGTTTTACCAGCTGATGTTTTATTTCCAGGACGGTGAGGACTCTGTATGAGTGTCAGGCAGAGAACGATTCAGAGCTGTCCTTCAGTGCTAATACCCTCATCTACAATGGTAAGAACTACATCCTTCAGACACTATTTCCCTTCTCAGTCTTTACCTGGGATTCTGGAGTGAATAGGTCCACTCTGTTGACTCCTGCTGTGTGATGTGCCTACATTATTGTCCGTGGAGTGTCAGGTGACAGTTGCTCCATCTGTTGACTCCTGCTGTGTGATGTGCCTACATTATTGTCCGTGGAGTGTCAGGTTACAGTTGCTCCATCTGTTGACTCCTGCTGTGTGATGTGCCTACATTATTGTCCGTGGAGTGTCAGGTGACAGTTGCTCCATCTGTTGACTCTGCTGTGTGATGTGCCTACATTATTGTCCGTGGAGTGTCAGGTGACAGTTGCTCCATCTGTTGACTCTGCTGTGTGATGTGCCTACATTATTGTCCGTGGAGCGTCAGGTGACAGTTGCTCCATCTGTTGACTCTGCTGTGTGATGTGCCTACATTATTGTCCGTGGAGTGTCAGGTGACAGTTGCTCCATCTATTGAAACCTGGAGTGTCAGGTGACAGTTGTTCCATCTATTGAACCCCGGTGACTGTTGCTCCATCTATTGAAACCTGGTGTGTCTGGTGACTGTTGCTCAGATTATTAACCCTGGGCTAGATGGGTGACTGTTGCTGTGCTGTGTGTCTTCTCCTCACACTGTTTCCTTATGTTTCAGTGTGCCCTTCTCTTCAGACTCTCTTTCTATGTTTGAATGTCAGCTCAGACTCTCTCCCTGTTTCAGTGTACCCTTCACCGGCTATGTTTCAGCGCCACCTCAGACTCTCTCGCTATGTTTCAGTGCCACCTCAGACTCTCTCCCTATGTTTCAGTGCGCCCTTCACCTCAGACTCTCTCCCTATGTTTCAGTGCACCCTTCACCTCAGACTCTCTCACTATGTTTCAGTGCCACCTCAGACTCTCTCACTATGTTTCAGTGTCACCTCAGACTCTCTCACTATGTTTCAGTTCACCCTTCACCTCAGACTCTCTCCCTATGTTTCAGTGCACCTATCACCTCAGACTCTCTCACTATGTTTCAGTGCCACCTCAGACTCTCTCCCTATGTTTCAGTGCACCCATCACCTCAGACTCTCTCACTATGTTTCAGTGCACCCATCACCTCAGACTCTCTCCCTATGTTTCAGTGCGCCCTTCACCTCAGACTCTCTCCCTATGTTTCAGTGCACCCTTCACCTCAGACTCTCTCCCTATGTTTCAGTGCACCCATCACCTCAGACTCTCTCACTATGTTTCAGTGCCACCTCAGACTCTCTCCCTATGTTTCAGTGCACCCATCACCTCAGACTCTCTCACTATGTTTCAGTGCACCCATCACCTCAGACTCTCTCACTATGTTTCAGTGCACCCATCACCTAAGACTCTCTCACTATGTTTCAGTGCCACCTCAGACTCTCTCCCTATGTTTCAGTGCACCCATCACCTCAGACTCTCTCCCTATGTTTCAGTGCGCCCTTCCAAGGAGCCTCACTGGTTGGAGGGGACGTTAGACGGCCGGAGTGGACTTCTCCCTGAGAACTATGTGGAGTTTATAGATCCCTGACCACACCCACAAGAGACATTCAACACTGTTTTACATGTTTTATAAGAGCTAAAAATGCAGCAGTTGTTTTGAACATTTTATCAAGTTCTGTTCGTTGTCTTTTTATAAAGGATAACCCGGTTGGTGCAGAGTAGTTTGCCAGTGCTCAGTTTGGTGTTTTATAAACTTGTTACTTCAGTTTCGTTTTATCAGGATGAGTGAGAGCTTTTGAGTGGCACTCTGAAAAGTGGCACAAGAGTTTAATAAGCAGTGATGGACTCTAATAGGCACTCATTTGATAGATGATGATTAATGACAACATGAGGCCTCGAAAACTTGGCTACAGTGAAACCCTGTGAAAGCTGGAAACGCATCTTTCAACTGATTAGTGTTTGAAATATCTTCATAAATAGAAATTACTATTATCTAGCCCAGCCCACTCCAAGGCTACTATCATGGTCACCTCCATTGGTAACTAAACTAGCCCAGCCCACACATATGATACTAGGCTTGGTAGTCTTGTCAGGCTCCGTCGGTACATAAGCTAGCCGATTGGTCGGGTAGCCTAGTGGTTTAAGCGTTTGTTCGTCACACCAAAGACCCGGGTTCGATTCCCGACATGAGTACCATGTGTTGAGCCAATTTCTGGTGTCTCTCGTCGTGATATTGCTGAAATATTGCTAAAAGCGGCATAAAACCCTACTCTCTCTCTCATAAACTAGCCCAGCGCACACCTTGTCTACTGCCGTGGGTCATCTGTCAGGCTCCATCACTGCTTAGGTAGGAACAAAAATGGGAGACACTGTTCAGATTATTGAAGTCACTGAAGTGTGAGACAGTGTTGATCACCCTACCATAAGATCATATCAAGTGCCATGTCTACCTAGGAAGTTAGAAAACCTGGAAATAAAACCACACAAGAGAAGATGTTTTAGTTTGATTAGAGGTTTGGGTTTTTTTTCTCTAGCCTCGTTCTCTTCCCACATCTCTGAATGCCAGGGCTGTACAGAAGTAGGCAGATTGGGAGATTTTAAGGCTCTGTATACTTCCAACTAACTCATTCGTGTCCATTATTTCTAATGCTCTGTAATGCTATGTTGATTTGTCCATACTGGTTTTAGTCATTTAATTTTAGAATCATAGGTAATGGCATTTTGCAACATTCCAAAGTTCGAAGCTCACTATTTTTATAAGTTATTAGTTAAAATACAAGCAAGACTAGCAGGAGTTTTGGACTTTTGTTTTTTTAATTCTGCTCAGATGTTGATGTCATGGAATTATAATTGTACAGCATTAGGAATTCTGTTTATCCTCCTGGATTCTTAGCTTTTCCCCCCTGTGCTGTTGATATAGGTTTGTTATAATTTTGTTTTTTATTCTTCAATAAAATAGAGACTGATTTGAACTGTGAGTCAAGGGCCAAGTATAACTGTATTGTATACAGTAAAAACCCTGTTATTCCAGACCCTGATTATCTGGACGTCCATCCTGAACCACCTTCAGGAATAACATGGTGTTCCTGTGCCCTGTACTTGCATACCTTCTCAGTCAACACACTTCCTCCTCTTTGGATATATTTTGTTTCTGACCAACAATTAACTAATCTTAGTCCATGTAACTTTTCCTCTGTGAAATCTTTTAGCATCAGGGTATGAAATTAACAGAAATATTCTTGTTAGAACTTGTACATACATAACAGAACGACATGAAACTGTTTGACTGTATTATTGAAGCTGTTTCCAGGATATGATATTGTGGCCATGTTGCGTGCGAAGCTTGTGACATCATGTGACACACCAACAAGAAACCAGCATTTGGTAGCAGAACTTGCTCCTAACAATTAGTCATCAGGTATTTTCTCTACCTCTTTTTTCCACCTTTATAAACAACTAAAAGGAAATAATACCTGCTTGGGTGGAAGGTTCATTTTGTTCCCAGAGCCTCAGCTTGGATTTATAATATTCAAAGAAAGTTAAGGACCACCCAATGCTTTCATATTGCCAAAGTTAATCTGTCATGCCTAGACTCATTAACTATGCCTAGACTGAATGACTATGCCTAGACTCATTAACTATGCCTAGACTGAATAACTATGCCTAGACTCATTAACTATGCCTAGACTGAATAACTATAGTTATATGAAAGAATCGAGTGGTCCTTAACTTCTTTGAGTAGTTGACGATGACAAATGCTCCAGAGGTGCAGTGTTTCAAGATGTTACTCTACTTAGCTGCATATGGCAGCCACATGCATTTAAGATGTATTATTTTCATGAAGTAATTGATACAAATGTTCTGTTGCTTGCTCATTCAAGACAAAAGTAATATTTTGGTTTGTTTGTGATAGTTTTTAATAAGGTTGGGTCACAGGTGACCTTGCAACCTCAATTTGCTATGCAGGATTATGTCCCTTATTTATACCAGGATCTGCTTACCATGGGTTTGAATCCCAGATTTCGTACTGATCCTGATTATGGCCTGTCTGCTAAGTTGGTCCACCCTGGACTTCAGTAGGAACAGCTGTGTCGTGAGAAAATGATGACATTTTGAATGCGCTATACTATCCAAGACTCGTTGAAAAAGTGTGTATTTCATCAACCTGCGGGTACTGAGTTTGTATTAACAAGATGACTGTTAAGAAACATGGATACAGAGAATGTGGATTGTTTAACAGAATAGTTCATTTCGACATGAAGTCAGTCTTTAATATTTCTGAAGATTATAGTGATTTGGTACCTTTTTAACATTATGTATGGATGTGAAGGTAAAGTTGATGAAACTATTCTTGTTTTGATAAAAACAGTACATATGTATATGAATCAGTGAAATTTTCAGTTACTTTGGTCTATTGGACATATACTACTTAAGAAAAGTTAAGGACCTCCGGATTCCTTCTTATTACTATAGTTGATCTGTTACGCCATGACAGATTAAATATAGCCATATGAAAGAAATGATGGAAACTGCCAAGATAGATAAACTATAGGAACATGAAAGAATCCAGTGGCCCTCAGCTGTCTTTTTTAGTGGTATATATTTGTGCATTACACTTGTGACAATGTGACATGTTTAATACAGTGTTCTGTTGAACATGAATGATTCTATATGTGATTTTCTATGATAATTTGTTAATCTAGGCAGGGTAACAGGTTTCGTAGGACTCTACAGAGTATAGCTATAATTTGGAAGTGCCAGTTCTCTAACTTAGTCAGACTACTGTGTTGGTTTATGTCAAACAAGTGCCTTTTTGTTGCCTTTAGACATGGAAAATACACTTTGTATGCCCATTTTTTCTATAGTGTATTTAATGCGATTTGGCTTCGGATGCCAGGGATGCTTCATCACAGCTTTATTTGTGGTTATTCATAGTTGAACATATGCAGAGATGTATTCAACATTTGTTTTATTTTTTTATTTTTTATTTTTGGCTGTCTGGAATGATAATTCTTACCTGAGCTTGGATACAATGTTGAAATCTTGATTGAATGGTGATAACATGTTAATGAAAGAGACAAGGCATGTTAATGAAATATTTTATCTAAATAATGATATAGGTGTCGTATTCACTCAGTCAGTCCCTTTTTGTTAAAGGTATTTGTAACTTGTTTTAAAAGACAGATATTAAGTCTAAAACTTTTATTTGCATGGTCCATGCTTAGTTTTTGATTGTGTACAATACATTTTCATTATTTTTGTTACTTTGAAAATGTCACTTGTGACCTGGTGCAGGGACATTTTAGTAAGAGACTGGTCATTTATTATAGAGGTGGGTGAAATTAAGGGTTTCGAGGGCGTCATGACAAAATGAAAGCGAATGAAAATGGGGCGGGGGTCGCCAAAATTTATCACTGTTATTGGGGGGATGGGGGTGTAAGGCAGGGCAATGAAAATAAAAAATATCAATTTGAACATTATTTTGGGACTTGTCTTTTAATAGGGGTGGGAAATGTCATGAAAAAGTGTTACAGGTATTTCGGGGGCAGGGGCTTGGTAAAAAGTTAAATAAAATGGGGTGGGTGGGGGGTGGGGGCTACTCAGCAGAGTATGATACAGTCCCAGGTCCAATATTACACTGGTCACCACCCCCTATAATAAATTACCCGTCCCCGAGTATTAATGTTGTACGACCATGTTTGCTTGAAAGTATCAAACCATGTGTTCTAATGTGTCAGATTGACATTAAGTATTTCCTTATCCAAGACTATGTCCATATGTATTATAGCCACTGTTATGCATTACCTGTATATACATTTGTATAATTTAGCAAGAAATATTGAAGAGGAATACTTTCTTTTCTAAGTGAATTGAATCTAATAAAATAATATTTGTTGTAGGTGTTGTCAAACAGGATATAACGTTACATGGTGCATTAATTGATTGATTGTATATGCATTGAGTGATGATTGTCATCTGTAATAAACTTTCTAATGCTATTTGTACTGTGTGAATAGATGTGGTTTTGTCTAAGAAAATGTTTTCTGTGATTTCATAAGTCACATTATGCAAGGAAAAGAGTTCTAAATGAATTCTATTGACAAGTAGCGTTCTGCAGTTGCCATGACAACAGATCTTAAACAATAATGAATCTTAGTGATCCCACCTTTTTTCCAAGGACAAAAAAATAGTTTGATCTATTATACCAGTACCTTTTCAAAATGGCTGCTTCAGTGGCCATTTTGTAGAACTTTTTCAGTGTGTTATCATCTAAATTAATACAGACAACTTTGACTGGAGATTCATCTTATAATTATTTGGTCATTATCTTGATAGAAGAATATGAAAATGAATAAGAATAATGTCATGTTAATTAAATTTTATCTGAGCCTGTAGATCCATTTTGCTGTCATTTTGGCACAATTGTTTGTAAGGAGAATGTACACATATATATATCACATTTAATTAGTGGATCTGTGACTTTTCTTGTCAGTCTAAAAATACCAAACATTTTTATAGTTTAGTGTACAATGCTATTAATGATATTGTAGAGAGGTGCATGGAAGGTTAGTAATCATTCTTCAATACTGTACAAGGGCAGAAGGATATACCCTAGTAGTTGAAGTAATCATTACTGCGTAGTCGAGGCTGACTTCCCAAAGGAGTAAATATGTGGCACCCATTCCCATGATATTACAGGAAAATGGGAAAAGCAGTAGTAAGCCTTACTGAACTAACTCATTATTGTAGATGTTTGTAATAAAGGGGAATGGTAATGTTAGGTTGTATGCCATAGGCTATGTTCATCAAGTGTCACTGACAGTGAGAGCCAGATGCCACACATTTCCACACATCGTCAAGTTATACATGTATTCCATATTATCACAAGGAGGATTTATGTTAAATATATATTTACCTGCTATATTGGGATGAAGTAGCATAATGTTCCTGATATGCTTGGAATCGGGATTCAATTGAATAACGTTCCAGTTTGCTCCTTTCTCTATATTCATTGGTGTACTGGACAGTAAAGGGCTATGTATTCAGTCAGTCCAACTTGTAACAGCTAATCAATTCGTGGAGACTTAAACTGTCCTCTGCATGGGCCCTAATAGTGGCTCTTCAGCCTAACTATGGATTGTATCCAAGGGTTGGAGAGTCAGTACTTGTGTTAAACTGTACATAGTGTAAACATGTCTAATTGGTGCTTCCCCTGTTAGCGCTGATATTTACTGAGTCTGTCGAATTGATGTTGACCTGTACATATTCGGCTTATGTGCTCAGACACAAGCTTCATAGGTCATGAACCTAGTAGTTAGTGTCTCAGGCAGCGGATGCTTTCTCTGGAGGGATGGTCCCTGTTCTACAAGTACAATATTCATAGTCCATGGACCTTGTGGTTGATGTCTCAGACAGCGGATGTTTCCTGTGGAGGGATGGTCCTTGTTCTACAAGTATGTCAATATTCATAGGCCTGGACCTTATGGCTGGTGTTTCTGGCAGTGGATCTTTGCTCTGGAGAGATGGTCCCTGTTCTAACAGAACAAAGCCAGTAGCCTGGGGGTTAAAGTGTTGACTTGTCACGCGGAAGACCTCGGTTCGATTCCCGACATGGGTACAATGTGTGTCGCCCATTTCTGGTGTCCCCCGCCGTGATATTGCTGGAATATTGCTAAAAGCGGCGTTAAACCATACTCACTCACTCTACCAGAACAATAACATTCACAGGCCATGGATCTAATGGTGGATCTTTGCTCTGCAGAAATTGTTCGTGTTCTGGAAGAATTGCTACAGTATTCACAGGCCACAGACCCTGTAGCTGGAGTCTCAGGCAGTTCTATGAGTATGGCTACATCATGAGAATGTGAATACATTGGATACCTAAGTGCAGGAATGTGTGTGTAGCAGGACGTGGAGTCATCCCACAGATGACATCCTTACCTTGTCAGCTTGCTCAGACGGGGTTAACCTCTTTGGTCATGTGGACAAGGCGTCCAATCTCTGATCAGAAGCTCCGTCGTTCGAATCCCATCACGGGACTCAGAAATTTTATGGCCGCTACATGTGTATGGACAGTAACAGTAGTATACTCCAAGTTAGCCTACTGACTGTGAAAGCAGGAACCTAATAGTCTAATCAGCTACATATCCTACATCAGCACTTCCACAGTTGACAACTTCTGTAGATACTTGTGTAGGATTTATCATCACATCTGTGGTTAGTGTCATAGTCAAGTGTTGAAAAAGGATAACAAATTTTGCATGCACATAATGAGAAAGATATGTTATTGTGTAAATTAGATGTCTTTTGAAGAAACGGACCAACATGCCAGGCCTCAAAGTTACAAATTTTACCAAGTAGCCATATGGCTACAAGCATTTTTTTCCAGGTTGCCAGTGGTAAAATCAAGAAGTCAAGCCAATATTGTAGGTAGCCAAAAGCATTTGAAATTATCTTTTATCAAATAACTATTATAATATGTACAAGTTATAGCATTATTCTTGGAATTGTATATAAGTGAAAACTGTACTTGATTTTGTTACTTGTGACTTGAACAATGATGCAATTTATGTTGCAAGATTATATAGGTATATCCTTGCTAATCCAATGAGCATTGTCAGCTGAAATAAGATCCAATTACAATAATATTTATGTATTTTTGTTCATTGTCAACTTTAGCAAGACTTATACGTAAGTACAATTATTAGCAGACATGTTTTCCACATTTAGCTGTTATATATTTTTGTGTCTCCAAATGTGAAGCAATAGAATTTAGTTGCCACAAGATATTTTGAAGGTAGTCATTTGGCTACCTCTGAATTTTAGACAGTAGACAAATTGAAATTTAGGTCGAATTGGCGGCCGTTTTATTCGCAACTTTGAGGCCTGCATGCTGTTATATAGCCGAGAATATTATATATTCCCAAATGCTTAAATGTTCAGTGACCGTAGATGTTGAAAAGTCAAATGCTTGAAAAACTAACCACTATGTCATGATTGTATGGAAGCCCATCTGTGCCATATATTCTCCTGTCTGTAAATGCCTGTTATGTACATAACGTGATACATAATAGTCCTTTTTTCATATATACTGGGATGAAACTAATATGTACAATATTATTATGAAGTGACAGTTTTATTGATTTCTTGTCTTGCAGTAGTTAGTTTTTTCAGCCACAAACAATACTGACTGCTGTGGACTCCCAGGTCGAAAAGGACATGTTCCTGATCAGATAGCTAATTACCTGCATTTATGTAAGATGAACTTATTTCCTTCCTGTTCCAACATTGTCAGATTATTCATGCAGGGGACATCGCTCTCTGCTTCTGTAGATAAACTTTCATCTCACACAACTGCACTGCACAATTCAATGTCATCTGGTTGAAGTGGACATGGTTCATCTTCCTTCTGCAATATTCTAATCAGATTATACAGTTGCTTTAATAAACTGTGGAAACAAATACAGTATTCGACGTAATAAGCACCAAGGTCGCTCTCAAAATTAGAAATAGGGGGCTTTTATTAGAATATTATTTTAGTGAAAGAAAACAGAGTTAAAAGATCATAAATTTCATGGTTTATGCTGACAGCCTGAAATGTTTAAAAACGACAGATATATTTTTCCAGGATTTAATTGCCATTATTAAAGGTGCATATAACACACAAGTGCATATTATACATGAATAATTAAGTCTTGAGAACATTGATCAATCAGAAGGGGTGCGAATTAAGATTGTTCACTAGCCAATATGTTAGCAAATATCGCCGTGGGCGCTTATTAGAGAGGGGCGCTTATTACGTCGAATACAGTATGAAGTTCATGATTTCCTAGCATTAGCCTGAACAAAACCTATTTAATGATGTGATGGTTGTATCTTATTATATTAAACTTGAATATGAATAATCCAATCTGTGTATCTTGAGCTGTATCAGTCACTAAACTTATCTACAGTGAAACCCTCTTAGAACGGACCCTGTCAGTCTGGAAACATGTTGTCAATTGAAATTGGAAATAATGTTGGTAAAGGGTATTTATAGATATCCAGGATTTGCTAATATGGGCAATTTCTGTGTAACTTGTACTGTCTGGATTAATAGGGGATCATTGTGATTATTTTGATGACCTCGTGGTCCTCCTGTTGAACTGAGCTGTGAGCCCTTCATCAGATATGCTGCTCCCAAACATCAACTGTTCTTCTGCATGACAGCTGTGGCTGATCATAGTGGCCTTATTTGATTAGAGCATTCTGTGGTCCATCCATAATATTATTGATAAACTGCAACAAATTTGTGTACTTTGTGTCCAAATTCAGTAATGTCAGATTCTCTTGTTCACTATTGACCAATGATAAATGACAGGTTATTATAATGGGTTGTCCTAAAACTGAACTTTATGCATAAGAATTATGAGTTAAATAACTGTGGAATGTGATGCGGTGCAGGTATCCGGGATTCCAAAATAAGTGCCTTTGGCAGGCAAATTGGGAAATATTGTTATTTTGTTATAAATTAGAAAAAAATCAGTGTTTTCATTTTCAAGTTATTTTATCTTTGAAGTTTAACATTGCACTCAATGCAATAATGTTAAACTAAGCATTAAAGCCTCTTCCTCTATATTGGTCCTGTTATCATCAAAATACAAGTCACCTTACGAAGACATATCTTTAGATATAAACAGAACAGCATTAATTGGGAAATGTTTAATTCAGTTTTGGGAATTTTTACTGACATTCGCTTCAGACTTAGTGTTGAATAATTGCCTTTTATCAGATCAAGATCAATCTCTGCTGTGTCAATATTTCCCATGAGAATAGATGTAATTGAGCTTTGCAGAAGTAGTTGAGTTACAGAAACTTACCCTGATGAAGGTGCAGGACATCTTACTGGAAGTGTCCTGTGGAAGCTGCTTGTAGCCTTAGGGTTCATTCTTCAGTATTATGCCTACCTTACTTCAGCTGCTATGCAATCAGTGTTGGGGGTTTATAGTTGTTGTGTCGATGTTGCTTCACTATCTTTGTAAAATCTACCCAGTGCTGTCACATGATGGCAACTTGAGCCTGGAGATGGGAGCTCTTTAAATCAAAGCATCGCCCGAACTATGACCATCAGGCCTTTAAGTTTTTGTCAGTTGGTTTACAAATGTGTTGGCCTAAAGTTTGATGTAGGTGGTCAAGAACAATAGAAAATAGTACTGCTACTGATGAATGACAAACAAGTTTTAACAAGGCAAAATAAAAGGTAATTGATTGGTGTGTTTTTTGCAAGAATAAAGATTTTTATACGTATTATTCACAACTGATAAAATCTTTGGGTTTTTTTTCATTTCACCCAATAATAAAATATAGTCAGCCAAATTTTGTTTTGTTGAAAGTCCTTTTTCTATTTTTAATTTCAGTTGTTTTTCAGTGTGTAGGTCTCGTAAACCAGCTAAAAAACTATAAGGCCAAATGTGAATCCTATTCCACAGAATGATCCTGTCAGGTTCGTAGAATGGCGATTCCATGTACATAATAACCATTTCAGTTTCCTTGCTCGGACAGAACTACAGATACCAATAAGTGATGCAAGACCAAATTTCTTTAACAATGTTTTTTAACCAAACCCTGGCTCTTGGTATTTCAGCAGTTACATTGAGTATGTGACAGTGTCCAGAGTTTACAAACATACCTTATAAATATTTCTGTATCATATTCATCATAAGTATCACTATTGACCTGGTTGACATGACTCTGTTAGATATGTATGTAAATGTTGATCAGCTGGAATTACTGATATGAATTAACACTTTGTGTTTAATTGCATGGAAAACAATAAAGAGTGTGTCCCACTCTGCTTCATATACCTCTATGTCATGTGAGATTATTGTTATTGAATTGATTCTAACTTCTGTTGACTGTACAACATGCGCCATTCCATTTCAGGAGCACAGGCACTTGATGCTGTAAAAAATAAAGAAAACAAATTCTTACTTTGGGAATATTTCCAGCAGCATATGCTTGTTTATTTTTTATTTTTTTCTGTCAAGTGCCTGTGAGCGTAGGGTCATTTATTTACTCTGAACAAGTAGAGCAGATTTATTTTTCTAAGTGTACATTTCTCTCCAAGTTGTTTCCGCATATTTACATTTACATACTGTGTCTTACATGTTTTCTAGTATTGTATGGTATTCAAGTAAGGAAATATTTGACATAACTGTTAACCCTTAACCTGTTGTCACATATAGAAGTGATTCAGTATAAGAATTGTTATAGAATTTGATCATTGTAGAGAATTTAATCATGGAACCTTTCTTAAATCAGTAAGTCATTGTTGTATTTTTTACATATCACTGTTAAAAAATAACCAAAGTAAATGTAATGAATTTAAAATGAAACATGACATCTGTAAAGAAAAGTTTATGTTTTAAAAGTTTAGAAAAATGAGACACTATTTGAAACACTATTCCACCACTGCAACTGATGCACACCATGTCTTCTTGCAGCAGCTGGTTATGATGTTACAGGAATTGTTGAATATAATCTGTGCTTTTATGTGTGTCTGTACTCACTGTCTGTGGTAATGCACAATTTGTTAACCAATCTCAGAGAATAAAGAAAGAGAGATACTGAAAGACAATGTTTGTAATGTTTTTGCTTTGCATCACTGTGGTATCTGCAGGTTCCCTGGGACGCTCTGATGTACAATGCAGGAGATAAATACTTCAACAGGTGCTCAGGTACACAAAGCAGGGAATCAACTTATCAACATGGGCCCTGGGGAGCAGCAGATGCTCTGGCTTACAATGCATGACATTAACCCTTAACAGGTGCCCTGGGATGCTCTGGTGTACAATGCATGGCAATAAGCAGGTGCCCTGGGATGCTCTGATGTACAATGCATGGCAATAAGCAGGTGCCCTGGGATGCTCTGATGTACAATGCATGGCAATAAGCAGGTGCCCTGGGATGCTGTGACGTACAATGCATGGCAATAAGCAGGTGCCCTGGGATGCTCTAACGTACAATGCATGGCAATAACAGTGTTCGAAATACCTGCCTGCCCGATCTTCCGAGACGGGTTGATTTCAACTCGGGCTGTCAGATTTTCAAATCTCCCTGCCCGACGGTCGGGTTATATTTCATATGTAAAAATATTCAAAATATTTCCCGATGATAAGTATTAATTCACATGTAAATGATAAAATGTAACCAAAAAGAAACCCCGTTAGCTTATCCTGAGAAACATGATTATAGTGGGCAGGCAGGTTTTGGTCAGGGCTGGCAAGTATTTCAGCTAGCCAGTCCTGTGGTCTGGCTGAAATTTTTGGGAGTTTCATACCCTGGCAATAAGCAGGTGCCCTGGGATGCTCTTGTGTACAATGCACAGCAATAAGCAGGTGCCCTGGGATGCTCTGGCTTACAATGCACAGCAATAAGCAGGTGCCCTGGGGTGCTCGGTTGCACAATGCATGGCAATAAGCAGATCCTCTGGCAT